ATAAGTTGGAATATAAAATATTGTATATGATCTTTAGACCTTTGCACCTTTTGACATGTAGCCTCAATTGGTCTTTATCAGTCATTATCTCATGACCTCATGCTGACCGCGTGCTGACCAGTGGTTGTGTAGGGCGCCCTCTTTAATAAGGAAAAAATCATAGAGGGTAGCAAAATGAGGCACATGCACTGTTGGCCGTTTGTTATCACGGTTCCAGTCGATTTCCACTTTTTCTGTCATTACATCACGACTTATTATCGAACAAAGTTTCGTTTCAGAACAAATTGTTTTTCTAGAGTTACTGTCTCCAAAAGAGTGCTTCATTTTTTTTTTCAATTAAAATAGACTCAGATTCGGAAAGAATTTTTCGTAATTCTAAGCACTTCTTTCCTTTAATCATATCAAATGTATTCTTCCACAGTTCACGCCAATTTTCAAACGGGTTGTGTCAAATGTTATGATTAATAACCGATCGCAATTTCAAACCAATGCAATATGTTGTTCTTGAGTAATCGTCTCAACAAAGAGTGTCAAAAGAGAATGAAATTTGGAACGAAGTTTTCGTAATTAAATTAAACGCTTAGGCCTATTTTCTTTAAATCATTTTAAATGTATTCTTCCTTGGTTCACGTCAATTTTCAAACAGGTTGTGTCACATTTTATGGTCAATAATTGGATGCAATTTCAATACTATGCATTATGTTGTTCTTGAGTTATCGTCTCCACAAAGTGTGTCAAAAGAGTTTAAAATTCGGAATGAAGTTTTCGTATTTTAACCGCTGAGGCCTATTTTCTTTAAATCATATTATATGTATTCTTCCACAGTTCACGCCAATTTTCAAACGGGTTGTGTCAAATGTTATGGTAAATAATCGTTTGCAGTTTCAATCCAATGCGATATGTTGTTCTTGGGTTATCGTCTCCACAAAAAGTGTTGTATTTTTGTTTAATGGGCAGGTTTTGCCGCTTGCTGACCAGTGGTTGTGTAGGGCGCCCTCTTTAATAAGGAAAAAATCATAGAGGGTAGCAAAATCTGGCATATGCACTGTTGGCCGTTGGTTATCACGGTTCCAGTCGATTTCCACTGTTTCTGTCATTACATCACGACTTATTATCGAACAAGGTTTCGTTTCAGAACAAATTGTTTTGCTAGAGTTACTGTCTCCAAAAGAGTGCTTCATTTTTTTTTCAATTAAAAACAGCAAGTATTACCAAAGTGAACCAATGTGAACTCTGTTTGTTGCATTTAATCGTGTAATTTGTGCTTAGATAATTTTTCCATGCTTTTTTTCAAATAGTGAAAGTCATTTTTACTTCTCTGACATTGAAACGGAGATGAAACTTTGTGTTAAAAATGGCACTGTCCTCTTATGTCATCAAATGTCGAGAAATGTCCTCTCCATTTAAGGAACAATTCAGAAACGGAGTTCTGGTGGGGGGGGGGGGGAGAAACCTGAAGTAGCAGTAGACGATCCGACATGAGGTGGGTATTGCCTGTCCATTCATTGTTATCAATGGGAGTGAGTATTACGCATCAACTGGTAGTGCTTCAAGTCAGTACGGCTTGGGATAATAATATATGTCTGTGAAGTAGCGTCTCTCTGGGATAATATCATCCGCACAGTGAAGTCGGTAGGGCTTAGGACTTAGGATAATTTTTCTCTCTTGCTGAAGTGGGGTCTCTCTGAGATAATATTATCCCAGCAATGGAGTCAGTAGGGCTTGGGATAATATTATCTTTTCATGCAGTGGGGTCTCTCTGGGATAATATTATCCCAGCAGTGAAGTCAGTAGTGATTGGGATAATATTATCTCTTTATGAAGCGGGGTCTCTCTGGGATAATATTATCCCAGCAATGAAGTGAACAGGGCTTGGGATAATATTATCTCTTGGTGAAGTGCGGTCTCTCTGTGATAATATGTATTATCCCACCAATGAAGTGAGCAGGGCTTGAGATAATATCATCTCTTGATGCAGTGGGGTCTCTCTGGGATAATATTATCCGCGTAGTGAAGTCAGTAGGGCTTGGGATAATATTATCTCTTGAGGAAGTGGGGTTTCTCTTGGATAATATTATCCCAGCAATGAACTCATGAGGATGCAGTGGTATTCCTCTTGGATAATATCCCAGCAATGAAGTCAGCAGGGCTTGGGATAATATTATCTCGTGATGCAGTGTTGTTCCTCTGGGATAATATTATCCCAGCAATGAAACCCTTGCAATTCATAAATTATATATTGTTGATGTACCCTAACGTGGCGCGGCCCCCAACGTGGCGCACTTTGATTTTTCGCCTGTAGCGCCTACCTAGAGCAAAAGCTTTAACTGAAAATTTCATCAAGTTCTAAACACTCCTGTTCACAAATCGCGAGTTTATTTACCCGTAACAAATTTAGAAGAAAACTTTATTTTGGCGTGATTTTCCGATATTATTTTCAAGTGCAAAGTGAACCCTTTGAAAATGCCCCGAAAAATAAGAAAATAATTTTCTGGCAAACATCTTGCTGGGTATGTAAGTAGACATGATAATTATTTATCAGAATTGATCAAGTTTACAGAAATTCTTAAATGCTAATTTGGAATTTTCCGAGACTTATTCAAGTGCGCCACGTTAGGGAACACTCCGTCAATTTGTGCCCAATTTCCGGACGCCACCGTTTTTGAATTTCGGGTTAAATTTTATGAAACTGAAATCGTTCACAGAGGTTAAATAGCAAGCATTAATAAGGTAAAAGTACTAGTATTTTACTGCATGAATCTGAGGTTTGTCAACAAAGAGGTTTGACAACACCACACGTGGAAAGTCGGGTAATCTTCGAAGTGCGCCACGTTAGGGAACACGACTATACTTTCACACATGTGGAGAGAGTATACGCGCGCGTGCGTGGGTAAAAGGTTACAGGATTAAAGGGGCACTAGGTCCTGAAATCCCCGAAAATGTTACGTTTTGGATTGTTTACTTAGCCTTTTTCAAACATCTGGTTGAAAGGAAACCAACTTAATGTCTTACCGTTCCCGAGAAAAGACGGGGGAAAAAAACCGCTTGTTTACATCGGACATGACGGAGTACGAATACGTTTTTCGTGTCGTTCTCATGTACGCTATACACGTTGTGAGTCTCGGGAGCAGCGCGCGATGACCAATCACCAATGCAAACAATTGTGGTTTCTTCAACGTCCGCCAAAGGCGAACACTTTACGCGTACGAATGAAATCACAACTAGCATCCAAACAGCTCGAATTTATGGGGTCGCAAAAGTGGACCCCGAAATTCGTTCTCGCACGCATAATACTGGAATAACACAAAAACGCCCAGTTTTGAAAGGATAGTTGTGTGGATGTTTATATCCTACTTTTAAAAGTTATTTCCGATTATCATCATCTCGTTCAAAGCGCGTTTTGTAGCCCAATTGGGCTGTTCCAGGACCTAGTGTCCCTTTAAGCGCCGCTACGATCCTATAACCTTGATTCAAGTCGCCTGAAAAACGGTTACCCTGTACTATTTTGTAAATAAAAAATTCGCGTCCTGCCCATGGGACGTCGTTGGTAGGTAAAAGGGCGCCCTCTTTGTTGGCGCGTGGATCCCATCAATCCATACTAAGATCCGTAATGCAGTCGTGCATTCTGTTCAAAATTTAGCTGTATGTTAACAACGCCCTCTGTCTATGAAATGTTGGGAGCCTTGTGTAATGCACGTATGAACGCCCTCTGTTGGCAGACTAAGTTTCCTATGTTCCAATTGAGCCACGTGCACCTTGCTATCGGGATGAACACAGCAGATAACTTGCATCATAAAATACTGCAACGCGTAACATTATGATCTTTGGACTTAAATGTTGTTTGTTCTCAGCGGGATCGTCACAGCAGATAAATTGGAATATAAACTATTGTATTATGGTCTTCAGACCTTTGCACCTCTTGACATGTAGCCTAAATTTGTCTTATGTGCAAATGATGACTGATAGCCAGGCAAACGATTCTCAAATTGCACGTAAGCGTTCAGACATGAGTTGGTCTGCATATACGCATAAACAATGTGCTGTTTCCTAATGAACTCTACATTTTTACATACATTGTGCATATTTTCAATACCAAATAAGACAATGGGGCGCTTACATCAGTGAGCAGTTCGCGACCAAAGTAATGTTCGCTAAACAATTTCAATACCAAACTAATGTTGTTTTCCTACCCATAGTTAACGCTTTAGCTTTTTGCTATAATACATAAAATAATTACATAATTTAATCTGATTTAATAGAATATCTACCTTGTTGCTTGGTCAAGTGTCTTTGTTTACCATCATCTCGATAGTTAGCAAAATATCAAATGACAATTTTAATACCGGTTAAAGACCTGTGGACTTTTTGCTTTGTCAACCACCAAAACGGTTTAATTCAAGTGATTATTGTTGTTTAGTTTTATTCATAAATATTTTAGTTCACCTTCATCAATCATTCACTGTATTCATACTTAATTCATTATGATTTTCCACCTCTCTATTCTGCCTTTTGTTATTACAGCTTTTTATCTGCTTAAGAACTCCTACCCCCGGGTGATGCTGAAAGTAACAACGTCTGTGAGTGCACGGTAGGGCTGCGGCGTGGAAACATTGATTCTGTCAAGCAGAAAATGGCTGCTGTCTTGTTGCAGGCACAACTATCAATGAAGTATTACACGTCTTTCTATATGTATATTTAAGTGCGACCTCAAGTGAATCTACCACTACTTTTACCACCGTCTTGCAGTTTGTGATACACGTTTTAATAGGGTCAAATTCACTCAACTATTTGCTGTCTATCAAATTTAAATGGTCAGAAGGATGCAAACAGCCGTTACTTGCTGACTATAGAGCTTTTTTTACAGGGTGATTAAATGATTTTCCATGCCCTGCAGCGACGCTGGCTAGACTCACTTTCGGGGTTTTATTCACACACAAACGTGTGGTTCTTGTCAAAAGGGCTGGGGTTTGGCTTGGATTTTCAGGGTTAATGGAGGCTCTGGTTAAAGGGGCTCTCACCACTTTATTTGGCTATGTTTGAATGAGGAACCTGTGAAATGTGAACGTTTGTTTTTAGCACAAAAGTTGGAGTAATTATAAGGTTTTTTTAAGACGCTATAGTTAACAGAATTATATGAAAATGTCTCATCTAAAAAAAAGAAAGTTCTTTACATTTTGCAAGGACCGTAATAAACAGTTCCAATTAACAGTTTAGTATAAGTTGTTAGTTTAAGAAAATGGTGATTCTCAAAAATTACGCAGAAATTGTAGAAAAGTAGGCCTTGTGCAGTTTTCTGGGTTAATAGTGTAAAACCACGGGATGGTTTACCTTTTGTAAAACCACGGGATGATTTTCCAAGGAACCACAAGAAGGCAGAAAGGGACCGAGAAGCCTAAACCCACACATTGTTTTCCTACTGCTGGTCTTAGATGTGCAATGCGACACCATTGTTTGAAATCAGCGATGTTTGGTGTTCTCAACCCCCGGCTCCAGACGTTTCAACAGCGGGAAGAACAGCGTCAGCAATGCTCCGGCGAAGTACACCCCGGCAAGTAGGTAGAAGATTGTCTTGTAGCTGCTCGTCACGTCATACAGCAGGCCTGTCGATGTTTAAAGACACAAATGATGCAATTATCAGTTCTACAAATAATAAATGACAGTTCGTTATACTGCTGAGTGCTGACACACTGTATAGAAAATGCACGTAGGAGAATTGGGTAGCCTATTACCCAGAAACAAACTGACCATTTAACCCTTCGAGCAGTGGCGCAGTGAAAAAAATCTCATTGTTTTCCAAATTTGGTCATAATTTTTTTAATGGGCCAATAAGGCCAAGCTTCCATGTAATCCTCACCCCAACTATACACCACAAGCCTGTAGACTCCAATTGGCCAGACCCTAGGCACTCCGGAGTAAGGAGTGTTGAAAGACAGAAGCCAAGATGGCGGATAATGCCTTTGTGCAGTAATGGGAGATCTTAGTGGCCAACATCCAAGTGCCGCCGATCCCTGTATGTCAACCTCTCGTGCCGCCGAGAGCCCAGACAGGTTGTAAACAATCCTTGGCCATGTGAATGATCTTTTGTTCTTCTTCAAATGTCGGCTGATGACTGCAAATGGTGCCCGACTAAATTTAGTGCAAAATATATGGGAGTCCAGAAAGGCCACTTAGAGCTTCTACTCGATCGTAGCCCCATCTAAAAATACGTTACAATTGTGCAGCAGCAGGATTCCAGTCAAACCAGTGAGTTTGGCAGTTTAAGACATCATCTTACATTGAAAACAAAAACTTTTTTCATTTTGCCGTCGCGCATGGCTACGGCGACGCGCGCGAATACATGAAACCGGAGACTTTTTGGGCCTTTAAACTCTGTTTGCTTAAATTGTAAAGTATCACTTGTTATCACATAAAAAAGGAACTTACCGGATATCAGAGGTCCACACAAAGCGCCAATACCAGTAAATATACAGGTCATTCCCAAGGCTACGCTGAAGCGCTCCAAGCCCACATAATGGCGAGTCAAGACAATGAAAATAGTATATATGGCTCCACTTGTCAAGCCCTGAATGAAGGAAGCCACGGCCATCGACACATAACTGTCCACGTTCATCAGCAGCAGCGAGACACCGGCCGTGGAAAGACAGAGGCCGCTCACGGTCTCAACAGATAGTCGCGAGATGATAAGCAGCCCATTTCCAAGGCGACCGAGCAGAAGCCCAATGCCGAACACACTGAGCAAGAGGGCGGCACTGGAGGGTGATACACCGGTGCCCTCGGCGCGCGGAATGATGAACTGCGAACAGCTGTAGCTAGCGAAGCCCAGTTCGATCTTTAAGAGGCACACAAGGGTGAACCGATAGCTTTTGACAAAGAGGTCCGACCCTACGGCGGAGGCGAAGTGACGCAGGTGATGGGTCAGTCTCGTGGACTTAGAGCCTGTTTCGAGTGAAACGATTTCTGTTATGTCATCAGTGGTCGAGTTTGCAAGGCGCCCTCCAGCAATATTCCCGACTTCCAGATGGTCAGCGTCGGACACACTGAGGTCCTCGTTTCTTACGTTCGAGCCATCTGGCTTACCTTCGTCAAAAGAACTTTGCATCTGAACTTCCAGAGTATTTTCCGCATGCAAGCAACGCTTACTCCTTGGAGGTCGACAGAGGGCGCTAAGCCCGATCAAATTTGCTGCAATCGCTGATATCACCAACATGGCGCCCCTCCAGCCGTAGGCTTCCAGTAGCAGTTGAAGTAGCGGAGGTATGGCTATTCCGCCCACTCCACCCCCGGCATACGCCACGGCATAGGCTGTCTTGAATTGACTCTTGAAGTGCATGGCAACAGCTACGGTGACTGCGTTGAATGCCACGCCTTGACCAACACCTGTACAGGGAGTGATCCGAAAGGTTTACCATATGTTAAAGCTTTCCATCAATACTTCAAGGTCCCGAAAGTCATGATTGACTGAATACTTTAGATTTCCAAACAAACATATCGACCTTCTTTTGCCAAGTTCTCTAAAGTAAATGAGCTGTCCCAGGAATTAATTTCAGCCCTGTTCAGTATTCCAATCAGCGCATAGTTCAATATGATGGTGATCTGTTTAGACATTCTCCTTTTTTTTTCTTTTTGGTTTTAAATATTTTAGAAAATTTGGAAAATGGCGACTTTTAGTCAGCACAGGGTCACGTGCTATGCAACTGGCTGCCAAATAATCGCATCCACTACTTACTGTTAGGCCCTATCTGATTCACATTTCTTCGCACTTACCGTATTTTTTTTCTTATGGTGAAAGGTATGTTAGTGTTCACCGTGATGATCTACGCGTTGCATTTTACGGGCAGACCCGTAAAAAGGCCGCTCGCAGTGCACTATGGGATAATACGCGCATGTCAACAACTTCTTGCGCCGCTACTTTGTTTTTCATTGCGAGACAGATGAGTGCTTCACCGATTAATAAAGGACCAATTTTAGGTATGATTTACTTGTTGATGTTATTTTAATTTGATATCTGGCTATTTCATGATATATACACAGATTTAAAGTTGTCGGGTAGATGATTGTTCGATACGACGATGTACACAGTGAATTTTTATGAGCGTTTACGTGCTGGGCAGGCTACACAAGGTTAGATGCATTTACATACTTTTACATAGGTCTACTCTATAGGCACGCGTGCGTACAAATGTCATGTAATTGATACAAAGATGTAGCGTCGTATGGAATAGCTATAGGCCAACAGGCTTAAATTTAATGAAGTTTTGCAAAAGTGTTCAAAATGACGGACAGGCAAAACACTCTTCAAAATAACCGATTGGCAAAACTGTTTAAAGTGAGGGTTGATAAAGTTAAAAAAAAAAAAAATAATAATAATAATAATAAGTTTCTGTTGATTTTTCCGTATTTAGGAAAATACGGTGCACGTAAAAAGTGGCAGTAGTTGCAGACTTTCACCGAAAATACTGCTTATCATTCAAACAAAAGTTACGGTTCAATCGTAAAAAATACGGTAGAAGGATGGTACTGTCGTCGCTGCACGGCGATAACATTTACGGACAATTATTTGCAACGAGTAAACGAACCTAGTATTGTAGCTGCCATGTACAACTGGTATATTTCCTTCACCCAGTGGCTGCTGAATATACCGACAGACGTGAGCACTCCTCCAAATATTCCCGTTGTTCTATATCCACAATGTTTCGTCATCACTCCACCTAAATGCACTATTGCAAAGAAAACACGAATCTCTTTTAGACTGGGAGCTAGGTGGAGTTAAACAAATAATTTGAGCACAAAAGGTTCGATGGTACCAGGCCATTGTCCGTTGGGGTGTCGTTCTGAAATTGCCATTCTTCAGTTGCCCCAATTCGGATGGGGGTCAGGGGACCAAGGTCAAATGTCAAAAATTTCGAGTTTAATTCTACTCCGCCTAAAAGTACTTTTGCAGAGAAAACATGAATGTGTGTTGGGGGATAATGCAATAGCCCCCCCCCCCCCGGCAAAAAGTGGGGGGGGGGGATATATGGGCTCCGTGCGCCAACGAAAGAGGGCGCCCTTTTACCTAGCAACGACGTCCCATAGGCGGAACATTCCGCTGGTTGACGCACACCGTTCCTTGTGTGTGACGCACGTACACCAGGGGATTCAATACGGGCGATTCCCAATAGTGCGCCTCCAAGAGTTTGCAGCGCGTTGGCCAATCACAATGCGCGAAATCAGTCGACCTTTTCCAAACGGGCGTTGGGTCGACAGATTTTGCGCATTGTGATTGGCCAACGCGTTGCAAACTCTTGGAGGCGCACTATTGGGAATCGCCCGTATTGTACTATGTACACGCAGTGCTAGTGGTGGCCGCGCGTCGCGGCAAAATTGCAGTCAGGCAAGATGGCGTAGGTCGGTCTCCCCCAACTGTACTTTCTTTGCCGGTGAGGGGGTACTTGTGAACGGAGTGGATACCCCCATCCTCCCGGGATTTACAACCCTGATTTTCATGGAAATACCATGTAAATTTGTAGGCCTGGTTGAATTTAAAATGGGCTCAACGTATATTTACGAGAGGGATCAATTTTGGAATTTGCCGACTGTGGCGGAGCTTTATTTCAAAATGGGTGCACACAAATAATGTGTTTGTAGCATTTATTGTTCTTTATGCTTTGAAATGAGCTGAGCACATAAACATTTTAATTTTAAGGACTTTGTTTGGTAAGCGTGGCCTAAATGCACTATGCAGTTAAGTTAAGCAGCATGATTCAAACGAGGCCCAAATCGTTATTTCGGTGGTGAAAACATTTTTTTTATAATGCACTGTAAATGCAATACTAAAGGTAACAAGCATTTCCTCCTTTTAAGATGGAGCGACATTTCAAAGTATGGGGGATTAACATTCTATACATGTTTGTCAGTCTCAGAGTGCTTTAATGGTGGCTCCTTCATTCAAATATTTCATATTATGGGTTTCAAGCTTATATGTGCACATCTTAATTTATTGTCAAGAGTCAAAGAGCATTCTTAAAGGCACGCAGGAACATTTGCATTTAATAAAAAGAGTACCTATCGATTAACGGCAAATGCCGTTAACGGCTAACGAGTGTTAGCAACGGAATCCAGTTAAGACAGCGATTTTTGGACCCTTTTTGGTCGAAAACAGGTTTTAATTGGATATTTGCTAGAATTGTGTTCAAATGCTTTCAAGCTTTGCAGTTTGCACTGATATTCTGTTGTTGTTTTTTAAGTTAAACAAATAAATAATTGGAACTGGGTTTGAACCTACGATATCCAGATTCTTCAGTTAGAAGGACAGGTGAGTGTTGCAGTAGTTACATAAGTAGTCATAAGTCCTCTCAAGTTCATCACATGTCACCGTAAAGCTGGTCCTAGCTCAGTTTAAGTCACAAATGACAGTCAATCAGTGAAGTGGTAACCAATCTAATTCAATAGTCAGTCAGTCAGTCGGAGAGTGAGTAGGGGAGTCAGTCATTCAGTCCGTACGTCCGTCCGTCGGGGAGTCAGTCAGCCAGTCAGTCAGTCAGTCAGTCGGGAAACAGTCTTCGGCGCAGTCAGTCAGACAGTAGAGTCGGAGAGTCAGACAGGAGAGTCAGTTGGGGAGTCAGTCAGTCAGTTGGGGAGTCAGTCAGTCAGTCAGTTAGTCAGGTACACAGAAATAATACTAGGCTGGCCGTCCGTGACCAGCAAAAACGAATGGGTAAGAGCGGGTTATTTACCAGAAAAGGCGAACACGGACACCAGTATACTCGAAACGGCCGCCGTTGCTTTGGCGCTGGTGTCGAAATCGTCCTTCCAGCTTAGGAAAAAGACGCCGATGCCGGCTGGAAGGCCGTCCAGGAACGCTATGCTGAGATGTGCAGCAAGGACCACCACAATTCCCCAACCACGCCATTCACCGTGCGCCGAGGGGTTCCTCGTGGGGCTCTCTCGGCGTCGATGCCTGCCGAACCTTCGCCCGAATTCGATCATGGCTAATCCAATTGGTTCTGACTGGACACACTTCACTGCAACAGACACGCGAGGGCTAATTGTACCTCACTGAATAAGTATAGAGTTATCAATGGGGCACGACACGAGGGGTCTCGTGCCCCATTGATAACTCTATACTGATTCAGATCCTGTCCCCAATCCGCTCGAACCCCTTATGTCCCAGCCCCTTCCCTTAAAGAATAAGTACAGGCAAATATAAACGTTTTAATTATTACCTACAGAAAAATGATTCTATTTTCAACAGACCTCGCCAGCCAGCATATGTATGGTGACAATCTCCCGGTCCTGTTGGCACCTGGAGTTCGACCTTTGACCGGTGCCGTGTGCATGGCTGGATCTAGTATATAGCTCTAAAGGGGCTTTTGCTGTCAAGCTGGGGGGGGGGGGGGCGTATAGAAGGCAGATGCTATTTGTTGGCATGGTTTTCCCTTTGTTCGATGCCCTAAGGAGGAGAGTGTTAACCTCCTAACCCCCCGTATGCTCTGTTTTTATAAACTCGATCAAGCCGTATCCAAACGAGGCTCAAGAGCTACGGTACGTCTATTTTCGGCATCCCACGTAGAAGATTTTGACAATACGTCACCGTTTTCACGGAGAGCCACATAAATGTGTGGATTTTGAAAAGAAAAGCTTTTCGAGATAATCGCAAGAGACGTTTCTCCTATTTTAAAACTGCAAAAAATACCACTTTGCAACATTTTTGTGCAGTAATGAAACCATCATAATTATGATTCTAGGAGAGCTGAATTTTTCTTTATTAAAACAGTAGTTAATTAGTGACAATTAATTAGTTAAGATAATGGCTCTTCGTGGAAACGAAAATTCAGGTTTTCTACATTTTGGCCCTTTCTGTTCAACGTGGTTTTCCATAGGCGCGCGTGTGTTCGCGCGCGCAGCTGAGATAGACTATGTGGTTCTTCCTGAAAACGACCATCTCAGTTGACTTTTACGCCTTTCCGTGCAATGGGCTCCGTGTGCAAGTACCCCATCAACGGCCAGAAAAGGAGTGTTTGGGGTGACTTAAACTGGTTCCCGATCCATCCAGTGCGCGAATTTATCCAAAGTTATTGGAGGTGGGGATTAGTCTTGGAGGCTATAACTTTTGCACATTCAGGAAATCGTTCACACTTCGCGCCCGCCGACCAGTACGGTACAGTACGCGCACATGTGTGTCCCGTCCATCACGGAGCTCTCAAAAGAGGTAAAAACGCGCCCTCTTTCTTGGTGTACGGAGCCCATAGGTTTTGTATGCGTTCAAGGGGCAAAAATGTATGTGGCTCCGTCTTCTTGACAATTATCGAGATTTCTGCCCCTTGCATCATTAATGCAATTTGGAAATTAATGATGTGTTCCTTACAGAAACATGTGGTCAAGAAAAATGTTTTAAAGCAAACTAGCGTAAAAACCGAAATAGAAAAAAAAATTATTTGTCATATGTTGTTCTTCGTGAAAACGGTGATTATAGAGCGAGTAAGTTGACCCCGAGAACGTAAGAGAGTCTACGAGAAACCATACTTCCGGGAACCTCGAATAGGAGCTTTAATGTGTAAAGCGAGTAGTTTTCTTGAAATAGTTTGTTTTGACGCTGTTCTTTTTACTGAACGGTACAAACAAACTTTTTGAAAGATGATATTTTTAATTTCAACAGACAAAATTTGAACGATATATCAAATTAGGAAAAAGGAGAGCAAACAAGTCAAGAAATGTCATACGTCCGTCATTCGCCATTGTTTTGTTTCACGCGCCATTCTTTCTAAAGCGAAGACCATATGCAGTACATGTATAAGACGGTCGTCGCATATAATTTATGTACATGTACGTACGTTCACGTCCGCACACTAGGCGCCAGAGGATGCTGTACAGAGATTGGGGGGAGCCTTGCTCATCCCAACAATGAGCCAATCACGTTGCAACCTGATGCTCAGGTCAAACATTTTTGTTCTGCTTTTCTTCAATAATTTAGACAGTACGCATGATTTCATATATTGTCAAATTAATTTTGAATTTATCATCAATACGGTTTATGGTTCGGATCTTCGTAAAAACAAAGTATTATCGAAACCAAAATCAACCACACATAAAAGTTCTGTACCCGGCGGCTAGGAGGCGCCTAGAAATTCAATCGTGACCTATATGCCCGAGACTTACATAGTCTATGGCACCAGGTAAACAATTCTGACGCGGCGTTGGACCTGAGTTTGCGTGTTATATTTGGAGTGCTTGTTACATTTGCATTGGTCCTTTTTGTTTATATTGGACAGTATACACAGATTGGTTTGGCTCTGGGTCAAGTTTTCAGTCGGTCACTATATAGAGCCGTGGTCCGATGTCAGCTGTCTCTATCTGATTCACGCGCTGGTTCACGTACTGATATATTCACACACTATGCGCTTGAACCCAAATACGCAGTACATTGCGGTACTCTGTGGTGTTGGATGTGCACAACGCGATGACGTCAGGCACCGTCCGAGGCGTGCCAGCTGGCCCCGTCACCTGGGGTAAAATTGTCATTTCATTAAAGGTAATGCACAACATTTACAAACATCAAAAACAAAACAACCAAATTGTTATGAAAAGCTTACTTGACTGTAAAGTGAAATATAGTCTCAAGCATCATATGAAATCATTGCACCTGGTGTACTGTCATTTTCAAGAAAAGTGGGATTTTATGTCAATTGCTAACGATGGTTGGCCGACCATGTTGGAAAAAAGCTGACTTTTCAAATACTGCCCTCAATTTATCCAACTTTATAATTAGTCCACATTTTTTTTGCAACACATCCGTGAACGGGTGCAAGCCAAAAAATTAGCCAGCTGGTCAATTCCCCGATGTCTATATACATTGCCCCGTTTCGTCTGAAGCAGGGAACAAGACTACAAGAACAGCATGTCCACATGGTAAAAGGATGAGAGGCAGGCCAAAGACCACCTGGTTTCGGACGGTGATAACTAAGATGGAAATGATAGCTCTGCTTACAGGGGTGAGGCACAAGACAGAACTCAGTGGTATCAGTTGATTGCGGGCCTTATATCCCACTGGGGACGGAGAAGATTAAGTAAGTTAGTGAGTATAAGTACTGACCAAAGCAATTTTGTCTGATAATTCAAAGGACGCGTTTTTAATACCGGAACAGTTTGAAGACATGTTAGCAATTGAAAGATAACAGGCATACTGTTGATTCTTCAAAACTCACCATAAAACATGGTGAATCTGAAGCATTTATTTCAATACCATTTCACCCCACCCAGATACATGCATAATTTACAGCCACTATTGCGAAGTATTACGCCTCGAAATACAACTTCAAATAATAAGAAGAAAAGAAAAAAAATCTGAACTAAAGTATTCAAACGAAATTGAAAAATTACGATATTAAACGTACTAAATGTAATATCAGATTCAAAATAATCACCCATTTATGAAAACTAATTAACACCTATGGTCCTCACGTGTACGTTTAGTAACGTATGGGAAAAATCATGTTTTTTTATGTCGTCCAGAGGGCCAGATTGAAAATAAAAAGGGATACATGAATGCTAGCATTTTCCATCGTAAGAACATTTTCACGATATACCTTGTACATGAACACCCCCCCCCCCCAAAAAAAAATGTGTGTTCCCGATAATGATTCACACTGCTGTATTTTTCAGAAGCTGTATTTTTCGGAAGCAGCAAAGTATGTCTGCGTGTTAAATATGAGTTTTCACCAACAAGAGCCTACTTAAACTACTACACCGACAAGAGTCCGGCATTCTCCCGATGACGAACAGAGCATCCTGTTCGAAACGTCGAGTAAAACCAACACAACTCACAAGGAGATATCATTCACATGGTGTTACTGCATACCTCCCATTTATTAAATATTACTATGTAGCCAGTATACATATCTGGGTATAACTGAAGTAAGCTTATACCGATCAACTCACATATTATAATAATTTTATTTTCCAATATAATAATAATGTAAGCAAATATCGAAAGTATAACTTTAAAAACATCTTATACAGGGTAAGTAAAAAAAAAACGAAACCCAAATGTCGGGACCATTATTTTAGTGAAGTTCTGCATGTAGCACTTTCTATCTATGATGAAAGCCCAATTCATAAGCTTTCTTTTAGTACAAGAATCATTCAAATCACTCACGTACTTGTCAACTTACGGAGTTTTAAACACAACCACCGTTTTAAAGTTCTGTACATGGATCACAAAAAGGTGTGCGTTCTTTCAGCAAAACGAAAACAATCACACACATCTTTATGTGATTTGTTTTCGTTTTATTGAAAGAACACTGAACTCTTTTGTGATCCGTGAACAGAGCCTTGTTGCGTTCGGTTGTGTTCAAAACTCCGTAACTTAAAAAGTACATAAGTGTTTTGAATGATACTTGTACTGAAAGAAAGCTTATGAATTGGGCTTTTACATCCTATAATTTGAAAGTGCTTCACCCTGTATTAGTAAAATGCCTTTTCCCGCATAAATCGCAGTCTAATAAGGAGTGACTATTGTGGCGTAGATTGCTTTAGGGGCCGTTCCACTTTCTTCCGTGGTTAAAGTTGGGCTTGTCTTCCTGTTAATAAAAGAATAATTTTATTTTAAAAGAAATACTTTAGCTGGGAACCTTCCATAATCCTCCACACAACGTGTTCAGAAAAGATCATTATCCCTTCTTAGACTTCTGAGTAAGTGTAATTAGGAAGGACTTGGAGCGGACTGGGTGCCCCACGCCCCCGAGGCACTGGGGAACCTTTAGTGTCACGATCCTCGTTTGGGTGCTGTGGTCCAATGGTTACGGTGTTCGACTTGTGTGCCGTGGTACATGGGTTCGCATCCTGACCGTGGGAACATGGTGCTTGTGTTCTTGAGCAAAGTATTTACCATTATTGCTTCGTCATTTGGATGGGACATATAGCCGTAGGTCCCATGTGTTGTGTAATGGACGTTAAAGAACCCAGTTAACACTTGTCGCTAAGAGAAGGGATTTGCCCCGGTGTTTCTGGCAGTGGCTGCAATATGCGCCGCAGCACCTAGCAAAAAGGTGCTACATAATGGGTCTCATATGTTCATATACTTCATTTACCTGTCTTTGGTTGCATTCTCCCCCGCGCTTTGTATCCTCTGTTAAAAGGCGCTATATAAATACAGTTATTATTATTAAAGTATTATTACTGGAGTGCGTCAGAGACAGGCAAACCCCAAAGTAATCTAATTCTTACCATTTACTTCAATTCCGGCTTCCCAGCTTCTTCGGCATTTCAGAGCAGTACTTTAGTATCTTGCAGGTTTTTTGAGGCTCCTTATAAATAAATTGAAAAATAAAATCCAGGTATTCTCTATCAACTAACCATGTGAGCGGTTAATACAAAACTCTCAAAACTGAAGAAGGAAGACGACCTAAAATAATCAGGAGTCTCTAAGAAGTTTCTGATCTCGCACATGGTTACTTGTTCCGTGGGGGCGCTATAAAATCTTACATTACAAGCGCCCTCCATTCGTTGGCACTGGGGAGGAGGAATCTCACGAGAATATTTGTCTATGCCTTTTCCCTCGTACCAAGTGCACTATCCGAGGCCGCAGTTCACCATTAAGTTCCTGAAGCTCTCATTGGACAGGGGGTAAAGGGGTCGCGTGCGCATGAGGTGTACGTACACAGACGCATGGCAAGCGAGCTACCCACAATTCTTTCTGCTTTTCCGAGATTAGCAGTCGCCATGCATAGTGCACATTGATGGGTACAACCGTGTAAATAGGTCAAAAATCTATCCGCCGAGCTCACGAACAAAAGTTGTACATGTACACTCAAACTATTCTATATTAGAGAGTTCTGAGAGACATGGAATTGGGGAATGGAAGTCATATGGCACTGCACCTCTGGCCTGGACTTGGGGCTTCCAATTCTGAGTATTTTGGATGCAATTGGGTTCGAAAGGGGCGCTACTCAGCTAAGTTCTGGATTTTTTTTCTTCAAAATAGCTACTTTTTCAGTTTGGTAAACATCGTTCATTTTTGGGGTGGCCTTCTTTGGGTAAGAATCTCTCCAAAAAGTCATCCGTCAACCCACCAAAAATGGAAAACAAAATGAAAGAGTATCATCATTTTTCTGTGCAGCCTGAACACCTGCGAGAGTTCTGAGTATTTTTAAAAGAATTTTGAAGTATGAGGATTTATCACTGGTGTCTATGGGAATTCATATACTGGGGTGCACCCAGAAGTCACTATATTGCACAAAAAGTGACTCCACGTCATGCACTTCAATCGAAGAATTTGATGCACGTGAAGTGTCAACGTTGGGTAAAACACACACCTGAGGTTAAGCCGACTGTCACCCCATGTGCTTCACGTACACCATGTGATACATCACTGGCAACTTCCTAACACCTCATGCACTTGAGCTTCACTTCTGTGTTGTTGCAATTGTATATCTTCAACTGCCTCAGTTTCCGTCAAGAGCCTCAAGTGTTCATGATTTGGGGGGAAAATGTGCTAGTGCACAGGTTCATGAGGTGCAGTCAGTTTTTACAGTGTAGGGCAATGGGGATAAGCGAACTTAATGGCACTTCCACAAATCTTACCAAAGCCTCGTTTGCAACGGTAGTCATGACCGCCGGGCCGTTGACATAGAAGAAATTCTGGCAGGTATTCTCAAAGGAACAAATCTTCACGCATTTGGTTGCAAATTGCTTGACAAGTTTCACCTTCGAAGGAAAAACACAAGTGGAATGTGAAGCATCACAGCACAGGTTCAGAGTTGTAATCGATACTTTTTTTCTGCGACTTCAAACAAATGCTTGTAATCTGAACGTCAAATTTGTGTCAAGTTACTACCTGGATAAAAAGAGGCTCACAATGCTTTGGCTTTGAACGTACTAACAGTAATGTTGTTTTCACGATACACAATTTCAACTATTTTATTGGAAAGCTGGATGCTAGAATGGTTTAAAAAAATCTCTGCGAAACCCCAACTTTGTGAAATATAAAAGTCCTGCTGCAAAAATATATAAATCAATATCCTTTCAATATAATCCTTTTTTACATAAAATAAAGACACTCATGTGGCTCATTATTGGACCTACTTGGATCATGAAAACGTAAAACAGTCAAAACATGAAAATCATCGTTAAAAAGGTGCAGCAAATAAATCTGCAGTTTATTTTATACTATATGTACTCTGCCATCGGCATGGTCAGTGCATGTTATTTGTTTGTAATACCTGCGTGTCTGTGTTCTTCCAGGCCTCTTGCATTTTCATCACGAATCCCAAGCAGTCGTCACATGAGGGTTTATAGCCAATAGGCACGGGCGGGGTAGGAACAACAGTCTATTAAAACCAACAACGAAATGGAAGTCAGCCTCAAAAACCGGTAAAATGGCTAAAAGGTGTGTTTAAAACCTCACAAACATGCAACAAGCTGGAACTTTCAAGCAATTGATATTACACTATTCAGTTCTCAAAGTAGACTGCAAAGATTTTGGTTTTCTGTTTTGCTTAGACTTACTTAAAGGGAATGTACAACATTTGCTTTTGCTGAAATTTTTAGAAATAAATGGATTTGGAGGATTAGAATTATTACTGACTTGTTTAACGTTTTGGGCTTGTATATAATTGAAAAAAAAGAAGAAAACTAATCGTGTCATTATGGTCTGGTTCTCTGACCCCACTTAACATGAAACGGAGCAATTTATAGACTTTTGGGAATTGTAAGGTCAGGGAATCAGTATAACTGGCTTGTACCACTTCACAGGTAGGCAATCAATTGCGAAAAAAAAAGGAATAACTAAAATAACTAAATAGGAACACTTAAGAGCTGGTTTTAAAATAAGCCAGTTTTCTCCAACGCTGGTCGGCCGACTATACAGTCTTTCTTGAAAATGTCGGCACAACAGGTGTCACAATTTTTAAGGATGCTTTGGACTGTCATCCCCTACCAATCCAGTAAGGTATTTCGTGATAATTTGCTCATTTCGTGTTTTTTATGTTTGCAAATGTTGTATGGACCAAGCTGTGTATGTTGGCGACGTATTAAATTATTTTGCTCAGGGGACCTACCTTGTTTGACGAAGGTGCTGCACAAAAATCAAACAACGGGCAAATAACCGCAGCTTGCTGAAAGGATAAAAAAAAGAATTAGGTGGTTATGCTTAATTAAATGAACAAGCATGTAAAAGGTGAGGACGGGTGAAATTCTTTTTTTTTTCATTTCTTTCTTGTTTCTTTAAAAAACATTATTTAGATCATTTGATTATTTCCTTTTGATGGAACATTTCTGATAATAAAGAAATTAGGATAATATTAAAATGTCATCCTGAATAGACCTTATTCGCTAAATTAGAGGGCAGTGGTTTTGTTTCGCTTGGATAGGCGTCGGTATACCTTGATTGCAATCATTGTTACTCAATGAAAATACCACAGAAAACCAACCGAGATACCTGCAACGCACAAGGTCAATTTTACTAATGTTCTTTCGAGGACACTGTAAATAACCCTCGATAAAAAGGAACGGGAAGTTGACATTCCACATTTAGGCTATGCCGTGCGTGAATCGCTGGTGTGGAGTAAGTTTTGGTCAAATAAGGCCCCCCCCCCCCAAAAAAAAGTCTTCGGTTTCTGGTATGGAGCTTGCCCCGAAAGTGGTGCGGCGACGCTGTTTTTTTTTCCCCATCAAAATGTCGGCTGATGACTGCTTAGCAAGTGCCCGACAAAATTTAGAGCAAAATGTATGGGAGCCCAGAGAGGCCACATAAAGCTTATACTCGATCGTAACCCCATCTAAAAACACGTTAAAATTGTTCATGCAGCAGCAGGATTGCCAACGCGCATGGCTACGGCGACGCGCGCGCAGACCAGACACCGGAACATTTTTTTGGCCTAAGACTGGACTTTTATTCCCCTAGTTTGCAGGCAGTCCTGTGACAAATGCGGTCAAGTTGCCGCGGCAGTGGATGTCTCTTTCAACCAGATGAATCAAATCCATGTGGTCTTGGCAATAGGCAGCGCTACCCCGGAAATTCCGAGCACATCACCTCACGCGCAGGCAATAGCTTGAATATACAGTTCTTGAGGTATGCTCAGAATTTCTTCGGTAGCGCTGCCAATATTGCCAACTGGACTTGATTTATCTTGTTGATAGCTACCTCGATTGTCACGGACCTGATTTATAGAGGGACAGAAAAATACAAATCCAGTCTTGTGCCCAGACTAGTTTGAGCGCAATGTACTCGTAGCTCAAGCACGGCCGTATAGGCCTTTCTTTTGTTTGTAAACATTAGCGCCATTTTGTATGGGCTGCCGTAAGCGCAAACATTGAAGCCGTGGTTGGCAACATATTTTTCCAAAAAGTCCTCATAACGCCATCAACACATAGTAAAAAGGCAAATGTAGGAATTATTTTGTAGCTTTGTTAAAAATGTTGTATTTTCAAGTATCAAATAATATTTTGGTGATATGTAATAACTCTTCCTTATTTTTGCAGCGTTGGACCTTCCATAGTTTTGCAGGCCGTGGTTGGCAAAAATGCAGTTTGCCAACCAAGTGCAGAAAGGTCTTTACTTACAGTTTCTTCCAGTATAATCTGCAGCAGGTTGTCTCTGTAGCTGGTAATCACGGCTTCGCACAGACCCCTAAGCACATTAACGTCAGTTTTGCACACGTCTGTCGTGAGCGTGGCTATCAGGTGCTTCAAAAAAGGAAAAAAAAGAAGTACGAATCGACTTTTGAATCGCATTCAAGGTATTATGATTCTTTCTTATCCTGGGGTGGAAAAAATGCTGGACTAAATTGTATGCAGGGAAATGTATGCTGGTTGAACATATGGTCACAAAAGGGTCATGTGTAAAACCCAACATTACTGTTAAAAAGAAACATTTGTTAATGGACAGTTTGTTTAGTCCCTAATCGCCAGAACCCGACATCTGGGCGTGGTTGCATTGTTGGTTCCCAATAGCCTTCGTTCGCAGGGAACCACAGACACGGAATTATTTCTTGATTTCGCATGTGCGTCGACGAGGAGAGATCGTCCTATACACTGTTTGCGCTTCGCAAAGGTTTGGGCTCTACCTTGGGCACATAGTTTTGACGTCATCCAAACTCACCTCTCCAACTTTGGTGCCGAGGTATGCGTGGTATTCATTCATGTACCAACGGCAGGCATCACACTTTGGGTAGACCTTAACAAAAGTTAGAAAGAAAACTCATCACTGTCTAAATAATTATGCAATGATTTCGTGTGTCAAGCCTGGAATTGCACTGCTTCAGTTTTCAGGAAAGAAACTCGACTTCAATTATTGACATTTCTCTGTAGAAAATAAACGATCAATTGAAAACTCAAACCCCAATTCGTTACACAGGCCTATCGAAATTTGATCTTCAATCTTAACATAAAAGCCGGATGTGATAAAACAAATCCACGATCACCACTTAATTTTACGTAATGATTGTTACATCCAGGGTATCGACAGTGAGAGTTCATCGAATTGTGATTCAGGGCATCTGAGGAAACTGTTTTTTTTTTCATTTGTTTGAAGGACCCATCCTTTCATTGGCTTGCTCTCGTCTTCGTTTTTAACTGAAAAGGGGGATTTTAGTTGAGTGGGAGTTGAGAGCTCAAACTGGTTTTATAAAACAATCCTTTGAGAATATGCAGGTCCGAAAGAAGAAGCTGAACGTTCGTCTTTAAACATGAAAAGATTAGTGATACCTGGGTTGGTTCCGATGCAGCCTGGTGCCCGCGGTTCTTGTGCACAGATATACGGCTCGGGTCAGGGTTCATGACATCCAAGATGCCAAATGAGCTGTGAAGTTGACCAAGGTACTCAGAGAGGACCTGAAAAAAAAACTTAAAATAAAATTTTTATTTTTAAATGTGGTAAAGAAAATCATAATACATGATATTTTTATGAATGTTTGTTACCATGGTTTTGTTGCGACTGTCTTCGCCTTTTGCCGTGGGAGGAGGACACGCCCCTATTTGAGGACACAGATTTTCTTTTTTCTGTAGAAAAAAAATAATAATAATAATAATAATGGAGGAAGTATATCTACATTTGTTTCTTCCAAGGTTTAGGTTTTATAGTTTTGTGAAATTTACAATACACACGATAGAAAGAGGATGAGTTGGGGCAAAGAACGTTGAAGGGAGGACGATGTATGGAACACAGGGGTCAAAGAAGGCTGACTTGGAATGAAGACAAATATCTTATTGGAAATACTGCTGAAAAGGAGAGGAACTTGGATAAAGGGAAACATTTTGGAGACAGTGAAAATGGTCAACTTGGGGGAAACAGTCTTTAGATAACAAAAGAATGATTCAAAAAAGGTTGACCAACTTGGAAAAGTGCAGCGAAAAAAAAAGGAAAGCTGGTTTGAAGACAGGCAAAAAAAGTCATATCGTAAAAAGGCATTGAAAAGTGTGGGAAGGATAAGTTACTTGTCGAAAGATATTACAAGGATGCAGAGTTTGGTGTGGGGACAAACGTACCATGACAGATCCGAGGGTGAATAGCAGCGACTTGCCGTACTTTTCGGCGGCATCCATGCAGATTTTGGCGTCCCCACAACCGGCATAGCAGATCGTCTTAAACAGGTCCACAACTGGTTGCTGAGAAATACGAAAACGCGGGGAAACAACGAGACATTTCGTGACTGAGACGTTGTCACAAAAAGTTGAGTGTAGAAATGACCCACAGAAGCCAACAAAATGAGTCTCAAGTCGCAAAAGCTAGTGGTAGAGCTAAGGCCTCAAACATAATTTTACGCAATGGAAACTAAAAGAAACAATCAATCTTTCACCAACGCACTATTTGTAGATATTATGCAACAATCGATTGTATCATCCATCCACCCCCTCCCATGCCCCACGCAAGAGGTCGGCAATGTAACTTTGAGGTGTCTAAATCCCCACCCTGGTGCCTAATTAAGTGATAATCTCCAACATGCATGAGCGAGGCACCCATAACTGGTTGCATATCTATGTAGTGCGCCAATGGTTAAAAAAAAAAAATCGTGAGTGACCAAATTCCCCACCCTGAGGCTTGAAAAAAAAAGGTTAAAGCCCGACATAAGATCTGAGGCAGCGTGGGGGCAGGGCTGTGGGGAAACCATTGATAGACGCATACAGATTTCACACCGGTGGTATGTAAACAAGGAGAACAAGTTATTCCATTCATGCTGCATGTGAAAAACTAACAGGTGAATTTTTTTGTTTTCCTATAGGCTCATTTCGTATAGGATATCTGGTCGTTTTATAAAACCGGAAATTATTCATTTACCTCGTATACTGGATCTTGAAGACGCTTGACAACCTCCCCAAAGAATTCCTTGCAGTTTTCGCATTTGCTTGGGTCATCCGGAGGCGCGTCGTTGATGACGTCATGACCGGAGGAAAGACTGCCACCATCGGCAGTGCAGAACTTCAAGGCCGGGCAAAAAGCCGAGGGCGTCTGAGTATATAAAAATTGTTTGCATGTTTGCTCGTCCACATCTCTGTCAGGCTGCCTTAAATATATTGGTCTGTTATTGGTATGAAATTCGGACTCCCATGATACCCATCCCCTCAAATGTGTCTTCAGGCGAGATCCCATTGATGTGCGCATTGAGACATGCGCAGTATAGGCCATGCGGTCCTAATTCGTACAATAAATATTACATACCACACCGTCATGAGTGGCAATTCGTAACAATTATGCAATGAAATACAGTCCTCTATCCATGCTTTGTATTGTACAAAGCCGTTTTTATTGCCAATGTGCATATTATAATTTTGTATTCAGCAATAGACTGGTACTTTTGACGTACAGACCATGTGCACAAGGATGACAACCATGCACGTTGGGAACCATACAAAATGGCTTCCCGCACTTAAACCACACACAAAAAAAAACCCTACAATTACTCACCAGCACAAACAGTATAATCTCCCTCGCCTTCTCGAAGAAGGTTTTGAGCAGCTCTTTACAGAGCTTGGATAAATCTCCTTTATCCTTACAGAAGTACTCAAAGAGTTCTGCGTCGAATTTCTTCCAAAAAGAAGAAGAAGAAGATAAAATGTGGGTCACTTCTCAAGATAAGGAAATAAATATATACTTCTGCTTCCGACAACATGGAATTTGACAATAGGGTAGGTAGGTAGGGAATTCTTTTGGAGGCAATTGTTTCTGTGCACGATCACATGGAGGTGTCTGCGTGTGGGCAAGGGTAAAAGGTAGTATTTGACGACTTTAGGTTTTTTTCCTCATTCCTTTTTCGTAAAACGGTATTTGGTGAATCAATAAAATACCGGTAGAGTGGGACTTTTTACCGGTCCAACAGCAGTTTCCAACACTTGCTTGGTTTCGGCCATGAAGGTTTTACATGTAGCGCAGTCAACGGCCTACAAATGGAAAGAAAATCAAAATAATTATTTCCCAAACAGCGACAAAATTGATTTCAGGTGTTCAGGTATAATTTATTTCCCACTCAATAACAATGTATTTACATTAGAAAATGTTCATCTGTGTGTAGAGGATCACCAAGAAACACACAGAGGCTTAATTTATATGGATGAACCCGAATAGATAATTAAGTTAAGGTTTAGAATTCGAAAATATGTAGACGCAGAAACAGTACCATCAGACAAGAGAAAGACAAGGCCAGAGTAGCAATTTGAACCAACAATAAATCAGTATTAAGAAAGAATGTAGCCATATCTGAAACACGGGTCACCTAGAGATTTGGGAAACATGGCTGGTTTATCAACCGTTCATGGAATCTTTTCGGAGATCGTCAGACATTTAAAAAATAATCATTTAGAAAATTATTATTATTATCATTTAATTACCTCACTTCAAAAAAAGACTTACCATCGGTGTGGGAACAGGGCTGTCAGAAACATATCGAGTAGTTTTACTACCGTTGCCTGCGTGTGTTACGTATGCGCCTGCCGTGCCTGTGTGCAAATTGTAAAATTACATATTTTCTAGACATGGTGATTACGGCAGTTTTTCCCTTTCTGATGTTAAAAATTAATAATTCGAGATACTTTCTAGGACATGACTTGTTCATGCTGTAATCGTGTTGCAAGTGCATAGTAGCTAGACATCTTAAGGAATGCCCAATCTAATTTCCCCGTGTTAATGAACACGATCCTTCCAAAAGTAATGCTTACTTCCAAATCCGCAAGATAACGTTGTAAAGCAACATATAACTTCAAGATGGGTTTTTCTATAAATTTGGGGTCCACTTTTGTTCCTGTCCCTGTTACATCTGACATATATGATTTATGATTTTAATTCACTCCTCAATGCAGTCGTCCTCCAAGAGTGATTATGAACAGCAATCTACCTACCCAACAAATAAAACATCATTTGAAGTCATTCTTAATGATACTTGAATGGCAAATTACAAAGTACCAAGGTAACAGGGACAGCAAAAAAGTCACACTTTGGACTCAAAATTTATAGAATGACCCAGATACAAGCATGCAAATGTCCACGTCTCAGTTCTCTAACCTCATTTACACTGCAGCTATTTTGGTGTGCGCTTTTGTTCAACCGAGATACGCATGAGTAGACCTCAAGTGCCTTTATTTTAATGATTTAACATAAAAAGCACATCAAAGATGGCTGCTGATTGCGATGGATCTGTATATCCTAGGTTGCATTAGGATTCAGTCAGTGGCGTATCCAGCGGGGCGGGGGGGGGGGGGGGCAGGGGGCACGTCCCCCCCCCCGTGGATTTTTTTTGACAATTGTTTTGTCAGCAATGATTTAAATAAATGTTTATAGAGTTCTTTTGACATCAATCCCACCACGAAAACCCGCTCAACCATTCCAATGCGCCGTGATAATTTCCATATAATATATAGTACCGGTATGCATACTAATAGTCAGCTTTGAAGATCGCCCCCATTTGGAAGAATAGTACCAGCCCCCCCCCCCCCCCCCCCCGAGAAAAAAAACATGTCTACATTTCGGCGCAGATGTGCGGTTGCCCCCCCCCCCCCCCGGCCCCCACATCAAAAGCTGGATACGCTGCTGGATTCAGTATTTAGAAGCAGTCTAGTAAATTGGAGTCCTTAGGCAGTCTAGTAAATTGGAGCCTTTAGAACTGTCTCTGTTAAATGAACATTAACACAACTTACCCTCAATCCCTACAAGGAAAAGCACAGTAATTAGGAATAACCCAAGTCTATCCATTCTGACATTCGTATATCTGCACCATACAACACACAGGTATTCGCTTAGTCAACTTGACACTAAACTGGAGAACCGAACGTGAACTAGTACTAGTAGTGTGATCCACACGGATACAAGTTTGCGCTTATTACTGCTTGTATTCCCGTTTGGTTTGAATAATAATATCGCTATTGATACACATTTTGAGGCGACTACCTAACGCCTATTGTGTTTTCTTATGGATGACTTGTTCCTTTCTGTATGTTGTACTGGTGAACCCGGCCTTTTCTTCTTTTTATAACAAAACAGTGAGGTCATACTGTCTCGCCAGAAGTGCTGATGCTGGTGCAAAATACGTATGCGTATAGCCGTCCTTGCGACGACAGGGCAAGGACGTAGACAAGTGATGGTGAACATTAAAAAAAAAAAAACACCGCAAGCTTTAAAAAAAAAAAAAAGCTCAGTTCTGCGCGATCGAGGAATATTCAGGAACGTCATTAGACTGCATTTTTTTAAACACAGTTTTGCGGTTTCTCTTTTTCTTGTATTATTTTAAGCTCTTCAATTACCCGTCACTCGTGAATTAGAGTTGCTTAAGTCTTTAACAGACTAAATACCACTTTTGGGCAGCTACCTCACTGACTGACCATCATTTGTGAATGGATTTCTTTCCTATCTCACTGACTGACTATCACTTGTAAATTGGACTGGTTTCCTATCTCACTGACTGTCACTTGTCATAGTTCTTCCTGCATGTAGCCAGCCTGGTGTGAGGATGGTATAGACCTTTCTTGTGTTTGTAAACATTGAGCGTCATTATGTACGGGCTGCAAACAAGGAGATAAATGAAGTCATGGTTGGCAACTAACTTTCCCATAAAATTGCATGTACGTGAAAATTAACACCCTCATCATGTACGGGAAAAAAAGGATTTTTTTTAATTTTAAATCTCGGTTCCGATGATATGTTTGGAAACAATACTTTTCTGTATTTTTGCAATGTTGACCTTCCATAGTTTGCCAACCATAGAGAGGTATTTTTTTTCTTCAACTTAAGTCGGGAATAAATCTAGGGAACTTAAGTCGGGAATATCTCGGGAACGAAAATACGACCTGATCAACCGCTACGCCCTCTATACCAACCTGTCCACGGGGACCGTAGGAAAGGAAGACCTTCCTTGATGTACCCACAGTACATTGCCAGACTACTCTCTAAAGAGGTAGCTCTTACACCTAAGAGATCCGTGAGGCTGCCCAATATAGAGCCATTTGGAGAAACCTTGTGGAGTAGTGGTATAGCAGTAATAATCGGGAATTCGGAAATTCACAAATAATGCAAGTTTAAAATATTGACCCAATAAAACAAGAAGCGGTTTCGTACTGAACTTCTCGCGTGCTTCAAATGAAAGTCCGGAAATAAAAAAAAAAAGGAAAATAGAAACAAATGGACCCAAACGATATCACTGTAGTGTCGTGCTGGGCATTTCGTATGTTTTAACGAGTGTTAAACGAGCTGAAAATATGAATTTATGCCCAAATTCGGTCGGGTCGTTCTTCCCGCTCTGCTCTACCCTACCTCTGCTTCTCAAAATGAAGCATCTGAATTATTTGCATCCCAGAAGTTAATTCAGCCATGAAATATGGACAAAACTAGTCATATTTCTTCCCGCCTTAGTACTGGTGATATTTAAGGGCGATTCTGGGAGGGGGCGGGGGGCAACGAACTCTTTTGGGTTTTTTTTAATTGACGTCGCAATAAAGGCAGGCACTGCGTACACGGTTACAGCCCGATAGTCCGAAGGTTCGATAGTCCAAAGGTTTTTTTTAGTCCGAAGGGTCATTAGTCCGAAGGTTCGTTAGTCCGAAGGTTCGATAGTCAAAATTGACAATAAGGTTCGATAGTCCGAATGGGCAATACAGTTCATCAGTCTGACACTTCGGACTATCGGACCTTACTGTTGATTCGGACTATCGGACCTTACTGTTGATTCGGACTATCGGACCTTACTGTCAATTCGGACTATCGAACCTTATTGTCAATTCGGACTATCGAACCCTACGGTATATTCGGACTATCGAACCTTATCATCTATTCGGACTATTGAACCTTATTGTCGATTCGGACTATCGAACCCTATCGTATATTCGGACTATCGAACCTTCGGATTAATTAACCTTATTCTATTTTCGGAGTAATGGACCCTTCGGACTATCGAATCTTCGGACTATCGAACCTTCAAAATATTGAACCAGCTTAAGTTTGACCCTCTGCTCCATTTATTTCACCAAAATACAATGAAAACTTGATACCAACACCGTCATAGCAACTATTGTCAAATTTATAGCTTAACATTACTCGCAGAAAAAAAAACTTACAGGATCTGGCCTCACAATGCATTACAATAGCCAAAGAAATACGTATTGTGATAAATTATAACTCCATCCGCAAAGAAAAAGAAAAACCACCATTTTGTCCTTAAAATCCTACTTATTGTTCAGCAAAGCTTAAAATTGTCAGTCACAATGGATACTTTGTATTAGCACGTAGCAGTCACACACAAAAACAAGCAGATACAAACCTTTTAGACTTTGAAAGACGTTAATTTAAATTTCAAAGCTGAACAAAGAATGTAATATATATATAGATTTATTCCTTGTGACTAGCGCCCCTTGAACAAAGACATTGCTAAAATGGGCAACCGCCAACATAGGGCTGGATATCTCAGTTGGTAGAGCACTGGAACGGCACTGTGGAGGTCGCAGGTTCAAAACCCGCTTCAATCATTGTCTTTGTTCAACTTATTACAATGCATCTAGTCAGTCGTCCTTAATGGTATTTTTTAAGTTATAAAAAAAGTGGATTTGCCTCATTAACATCTCCCAAATCCCTAGACTGCAGCTGCAGGTGATGCCAATTTGTTTCCCTTAACGTTCTCCATTGACAGTTTCAAAGGTAAATACATGTGAACATGAGACTTAGCCTGGGCCCAATTTCATAGAGCTGCTTAAGCAGAAAATCTGCTTAAGCACGAAAAAACATTGCTTAGTAAAATTAGGTTACCGGCCAAAACTCCATGTGATGTACATTGCTTCTGACTGGTATTTAGCTGTTGTTTACTTAGCATAACAATCGCATTGAGTTTTGGCCGGTAACCTGGTTTTATTAAGCAAGACGTTTTTGTGCTTAAGCAAATTTTGTGCTTAAGCAGCTCTATGAAATTGGCCCCTGGTTGTTAGCTATAGCTACTAGCAAGGAGAGCCAGACAGTGCTCATGTAATACGATTACCCATTAGTGGGCGACATCTGGCCCATTAAGCCTGATGCATGAAGAGACTTCCAGTGATTAGCCAATCTGAATCAATTGAATAGAAATGTGTGCACTCCAGGACCAGTTTTACCAAGTTTGTCTTGTCTTGTTCATTGGTAGATCCCGTGGGGAGGCCAACAGGGGCCAAGCCCCACCCCACCCATTGTATTATTCAATTATATCTATCTATATTTATTATCTAATTATTAAGCTATCAGCTGCATATACCTTTTCGTGTTAATATTACAATGTGGAAATAGCGCACGATATTGTGTATAATTAATCCCCTTCCCCTTTTGGAAAAAAAACTGCTCGAGCCCTCTTGAATCCTGATCCGCAAATTGGGTTCCGGATCCACCCTTGGTCTTGTTTGGTGTAAGACCACCACCATTTGGTCTAACAATGAGGGCACTGTCATGGAAGTCACAAGATCGTATCGCTCTCCATTTCTTTTGTACAGTACATGTACATGGATTCCGAATAAAGTAATCAGTTCAGTTTCCTATTTTGTTGACAGGGCGAAGATAAGTCGTTTGAAATATTATCTACACATCTGAGTTGCTCTAAGGCACTTCTATGAGCAAAACATTAATATTATGCTTTTGAAAACTACTAATTATTCCTTTAATCCCAAAATCAAGAGCGTCTACTGTAGCTTCACTGCTCACATCGTCCAGTCTCCCCTCCAGTTCCGCTAGATTCGGTTTGCTGTAAATTCAGAAAGTAAATGAACATAAGCTGAGATTGTTGATTTAAAATGTTGTGATCACATTAAACAAAAGGGGCTGCAAACTTGACATGGAATAAACCAATATCACACTATACTTTCTATTGTCTCTACCTCAATCACCCTAAAACATTAACATCACCACCATATATAGGCTCACTTCTACACAGAGTTGTAGTCGAGTCCATCACAGGTCAAATCACAAGTCCATCACAAGTCCAATCACGTCGATCGCAAATACAAAACCTCAGCTAACATGGGACGGCCAATGACAAAAGATACCACTGTTTATCAGGACTGAAGAACAGGAAAACCTGTGATCGACTCAGTGCAGACTTGTCAATAGCATTTCCACCGCCGTCCAAAAGCGTGCAATTCACATTGGGTAGGAACTACCACCTTCATTTAGATTTTGCTACAAAGAGAGGATTGATTCCATACCATGTTTTTCTTCACCCACGCGTAACACGATGAACAAGTGCAAACATCAACCGTACTACAGTGTAGAAGGTTCTAGACATCTCAAACATTTTCTTAGCAGTTCTTAGTATATGCCACAGACAACTAACTAAAACGTACAGATACTGCGTACCTGGCAGGCAGACGGACAGCTGGCTGCAGATCTTGTCTAGCTTGAAGACACCGGGTCCCTGCTGATTGATGACAAATTTCAGTTTGTCAGCCAGGCTATGGCACTCACTGCGCAGCGACTCGGGCTGGGAGAAGCAGAACTTGGCCAGCACACCGCCGATGTCTCCCTTGAAGTTCAAGAAAAGAATTATCAGGAGTAAATGATTGTGTGTCAATAACCCAACCTTAGTTGGGACTGGTTGGGACTGTCCTAACCTTGGTTGGGCCCGTCTCAACTGGTGTTGGGACCATTGCATAGTTGGTGCCTTACATAATAGCATGCACATTTTGGAGCGATTGAGGGTGCCCTAACGAAGCCATTTTCTGAGTACCAACAGCAGAAATAACATTTAACGAAGCAATTTAGCAGCTTTGCTTCACTCTACAAACACGAAAATTAAAGATCGTAGAAATGTAATTGTCAGGTATATAGATACGTGTAAACATGTAAACAACCTAGACTCCGTTAATGTACCCTCAAAATGGCCCACGTCAAAGCGCCCTCATAAATTTGTTGAAAGTATGGCAAAGAAGCGAGAAGTTGAATTGAATAATCCGCTCCATTCTACAACCATGAAACCTGAAAGAAGCGAATGACGTTTTTAACTATTTCCCTTCTTAAGCCTTTTCGTTTGGTCGTTATTATGCTTTAAGCGAGACACCTACCTTGGTTGCATTGCGGAATGCCCCTTGCATTTGCTCGGCGGTGGACATGCAGGACTTACAGAAAACCGCGCGGGTCGAGTTGACCTGTTCCGCCGGGGAAATCTGGAAGAAAAATGCACTCACCCGCTTAATTCGTTCCGGAAAATGTTCAAAATACATCATTCAGAAGAAGGACCCCGGCCCATTGTTTTGTTTTAATAAGACAGCAGATCTTCATTGAACATTGCATGGCCAAGGGCGGATCCTTAAGTGGGCCCCGAACCCCTCCCTGTAATTGTGTTCTGGATCCGCCTTTATGCACAGCCGACCTGTACGGGGTCATTGTGTGGCTGAAGCTCGTAATGTATTTGTAATCTGCCAAGTAAAGTTCTACAGAATCTGAAGCTAAAGGTTGTATCAATCTGGCTTTGGTTCAGACCTAGATTCGCTTGAAACTGAAGCATTGGTTTGTGAAATGGCCTGAAGAAGTACTGTACCAGATGTGTCGATTATATGTTGTGCAACTTCGCACTGTGACTTTCTGTCTTGGAGATATAAATATTGGCATGGATTTTGCCATTCCCAAAAAAGTCTGTTGCATAAACCGTTATCTGGTGATATTAATGAGCTATAAGGTAAAACAATCTCATCCATGAAAGCCGGGTTTTTGTTTTTATTTCTAACAAGGTCTCCGAAACCACCGTGTATACAATACTGATAAAAAAGACCCAAAACATTCAAAGCTCTTACCACTTTCTTCATCATGTGTTTTTCCAGCTTGCTCGGTTTTGCTGGACAGTACTTCAGACTTCTGCATGATTTTTGAGGGTCCTGATCATTAATCAATAGCAAGATAAGGAAATATTTTTCAGCTATATAGCTGTGAAAACATAATTAGAAGGTTTGCATAGTAAGGTAATGAGCAATATCTGGGGGTTTTGGAGAAACCATAAAACTTTTAATTTCTTTCGTGTGTTTTGTGCGCTCACGTTACATTGAACGTAAGGCATGAAACAAATGACTACAATGAAAAAAAGCCTGTTAATATCGAGATTCATCAGAGCTCATACATAATTATACGTTCATCAATTGTAACTGAGAGGGCGCCATAGGCATCACTATGCAGACCTGTAAATCCACAAAGTGATTATTATCCGTACTCCCAAGAATTGTTAAAATACTCACAACTCTCCAAAGTTTTTTAGCACTTTCATTTTCTGTTAAAAAAAATTGGGCGTAAATTCGATGATTTTGGGGAGAAAATTCCATTCAAAGATGAAAGTAGTCCTGTGGCCCCTCGCCATGAGCCATTGCAAAGTAGAGCAGTGCTAGGGCCCATTTTCATCCGAATTTCACACAAATACGAGCTCGCACTCATGTGCACGGCTTCCACCCATCATTTCTTTCTTTTTTTTTACAAACCTTCAAATTCATGGCCCATAACATGCTCTAATAGCAAAGACAGTGAGGGCATACAAATCCTGATTTGGAACGCGTAGACAATTCTGGGCCTATTTACAGTTCTGTACCCAAAACCAGGGCCAGTAAATGGGGACATTTGAAACCCCTCAGTTAACTCCCTTAATCAATACACTGCAAAAAAGTGCAGTCTAAATTGGTCACCGTGGTATCTGAATAGGACCATTTAAACTTTTACATGGTTCGTTCTACATAAGGTACGTGTCGTGTTAAATTTATCACCGCTGAATTGAATTTGGAGTTTCGTTGTCATTTTACTTATATTGGTTCCCAACAACAAGGTTTTCAAGGCGCTGAATCAGACTATTATTTGTTATTGGAACTGGAAGCGGTAATTTGGCATGGAGTCGAAGGAGACTTTGAAAAAGTGATGGATTAACTTTTGCGGTTGATGCATGATATTTGAAGGAAATAATCAATGAAGCAGAAGTTGTACGTTTAAAAGAATGAAAGAGGGAAAGGCAATTTTCTATACGACTTACCAAAGCCTCATCGGCAGCGGTAGTGAGAAAAGACGGGGCGTAAATATCAAAGAATGTCTGGCAAGAGTCCTTAAAGACACAGAACATGACGCAGTCGCCAGAGAAATGGTTGATAAGTTTCACCTGTGAAAGTTGTTGGATTGGAGAGTGGAGATTTTATAGTACACTGTACACAATATCTTACAATACCAAATGAATCTAATTTTGAGCTTCAAATTTTGCAACATAGAAGCTGAAATCACTAGACGCAGTCAGGAAAGTTCAGACCATATGAGCTGGGAACATTTATATTCCGTGGGTGAGTCCAATCGGAACAAAGCCATTCCCCAAACGTTGGGTGTGGAGATCTGTTCCTTCCCCGTCACAATTCCTTGGTGCAGGAATGACGGATATGTCATTTCCACAGCGCAGAAGGTGCGCTTAAAACAATGAGAGTGAAAATAAACATTGTTAAACCTCGAGTCCAATTAAATCACAAGGCTTTCCTGTCAAGTCCAAAATCGTTTTCATTTTCCCAAGTCAAAATCAAGTCCAAAAGGACTTAAATACGACTCGAATCTAAAAATCGCTGCCAATCATGAAACCCTATATCCACTCTAAAACAGTGGCGAAGCTGGGATTTTTTTTTAGAGGGGGGGCATATCATAGTGGCATATCGCAAACGTCCTACTGCAGTTTTTCCCAGTTGGGCCCAATAATGCCTCGATATATCCATTGACATAAGAAATTGTAAATGGTAAGCATTTGGCCAACTGAAAAAAAATATAATTTACGAAATCCCTTTTTGGTTGGGGAAAGGAAGGGTGGGTTATCAGTATTTTGGTAGGGGCACATGTGGGGGCACGGAAATGTTGTGGGGTGGCACGTGCCCCCCCCCCCCCCCCAGCGACCCCCACCTCACCCTCTTGGCTACGCCACTGCCCTCAAATCCAAGTTCTTGCAATCTGTTTTTACTAATACTCGAGTGTTGTTTTTATTTTCACATTGAAGTATGCTTGTGCAAGGGCAGTGTATGATTTAAACTTTTTTATGTTATGACAGTGTAATGTCGCTGCTTATTTACATTCATTGCAATGCAAAGACAGGGAGTACTGTGGTGCCATGTCAGTGTAATATCAGAGCAATATTTACACTTTAAACACAGTTTGCAATTTCCGTCAACCATTACCTGCGTGGCTGGATTCTTCCAGGCCGCTTGCATTTTCATCACGAAGCTCATGCAGTCGTCACATGAGGGTTTATAGCCGATAGGCACGGGCGGGGCTGGGGTAGCAGACTAAAACAATGAAATGGAAACCACACTATTTAAGGGTCGATGAAGTGAACTTTTCTTGGGAATATATTTTGTGCAACTTTCTACTCCTCCTCAATGAAAAATATTTCACGACTCTTTTGGTTAATTTTATTTTTAAAAAATACACTTCTTTAATCGTGAAAAATGTTGCATGTTTTTCCGGACAACTGAGAGCACTGTTGCTTTGACGTCATTTCAGGAAGACGCTGTGTAGTTTAGTGTTTTTCTGTTCAAATTGTGAACCCCAAACTGCTCACTGAACACAGTTGTGAGAAACGTTTGTTCTTTTGGCTTACTGCCTTACGAAGAAAAGAAAACTAGCAAAACATCCACAATTTTGGCAACTTTTGGTGCTGAAATAGCTGTACAATCAATGTTTCTGGCTGAAATGACATCACAGTTTAACTCACGAATATAAAAATTCACATTACTATAAAAACCAAAACAGCACCAAATTACCCTTGAAAATGGCAAACCGAAAAATTAAAAATAAGGATTAATGGAACACAAAGGTGTTCTTTTAAGGATTGCATTAAAAAGTACATTCTATAGCACAGTGGTGATCCTCACACTTTGTAATGAGCACAGGCTTTGCAGTGTGCAACAAACACTCGACATTATTTAAAGGCAAAGAGTTACTTGATTTTCATGCATTTTGTTCGTTTACAATTTACACCTTTCAAAATCCAAAGAAGAATGGTCATAACCTAACCTAATAAGTTTCAGCTCAGTGGACATTACACTTTCGTGAGTGAAATTAATATTGAATTTAATAACAGGTTCTTATATAGCGCTTTTAACTAAGATCAAAGCGCTTTACATTGTTGTTACCCCTGATCATTGGGCCAACGAAACATTCAAAATAGAATCCCAGTTCCCTGGGGAGTATACATCTCGATGAAGCCATTTTGGCGCAAGGCAACTAACGTCAATCAAAATAACCACACCTGCCTCGCACAGGTACCCATTTACTCCTGGGTGGGGAGAAGCAATGAGGGACAAAGTGACTTGCCAAAGGGCACTAGCGCAACAACCCCAGGCAGAAATTACCCGCAAATCACGAGTTCAATGCTCTTGACCACGAGGCCATAACCTTTTGATCACGAAGCACGAGTTCCTCATTTGCACTCATTATTTCCGAACTTTGGTCAATTGACTGATCTTTGGGGGAAAACATACATTTTCATTTTTTTCAATTTCAATTTCTTGGGTTGTTTAGTACCAGTACGATCTTTAGCCCAAGTAATTTTTTTTTAAAAATAATTCGGTAGGTATACTTTTGGGAGAATTACAAATAAACATATATGCCATTGAAAGTCTTTTTGGTAATGAAACCAAGGCTGGTTCAAAGTGCACAGGCAAGGTAGCTCGGGAGCCTGAAAATAAAAGACAATGAACTTAGAAAAAAGTATTCAGTGGAGAGCTAAAAAACCGAAGACTTTTCCAATGAAAACCAACGGAATTATAACAGTAAGGGTGATGGAAAATATAGACCTATGGATTTATGTTCTTAAGATTGTCAAGTTCTCCACCTATGCAGATTTAAGAAAACATGCGGATTTAAGATCAGCAGTTTTGTTAATCTTCTCTATTCTTGCGTTTAAGTAAAACGAATGTCTTTGTTCATTCAGGGGACGTACCTCACTTGACGAGGGTGCTGGACAGAAATCAAACAGCGGGCAGATGTAGGCAGCTTGCTAAAAACAAAAGAACGAACGAAGTCAATATGTTCAATTATTTCAAAAGAAAGGAGGGAAGTTGATAGAGCAACAAAGAAAAAGTGACACATAAGTATTAAGTGACGGTGCAAATCGGCTTAAACCTCCCTTCGGTTCAAATCGGCTTAAACCTCCCTGAGCCCAATCTACAGCCGAGGTTTCACAAAAAAAACAATGGATTAGAAAGTCGGCGTTAAGACTTACAATTTTGTCCAGAATAACCTGCAGCAGGTAGTCTCTGTAAGTCTTGATCACAGCTTCGCACAGACCTTTAAATATGGTTGCGTCGATTTTGCAAACGTCCTTGGAAACCTTTGAAATTAGTTGCTTGAAATAATAAGAAGAAATACAATGCTATTTGAATTTGAGAAAATAAAATAAACCATGTCAAGTGTAGCTTTGACGAGAGATATTTTTGACAAATTCATGAATGTTACAAAATGTTATTGTTGATTTTTTTTTTAGTAGGCCTACATTTTCGAAACACCCCCTCCCCCAAGTACTAAAACTGTGTGGTAAGAACGAAGCGTAAGGACCAAACTGTGTTGATGAGTCGAATACATTAGTGGGCTGACACAAAGCTTATCCAGAGGTATCTTACGAAATAGTTTTTCCTGACATTCGTATTGTATTGCAATCGATGTAAGTAGCGAGTAAAAACTTTGGCCTGTTTATATGCAGTACAACATAAGGGCGTAATGATAATATTAGGGAAATATGACGAAGACACTAGAAGTGAAAGGACAAACAATGAATGATGTGAAATCCCAAAATTATGTCCTAAATACTTAGTCTGTTTACGACAAAAGGGCAATAACGTATTACCACAAACAATTAAGTTGAGGCACTAGACTAGCCATTTCTTGTTGCCATGATCTATGTGCACATCATGACGTCACCCAAACTCAACTCACCTCCCCTATTTGTGTTTCGAGGTATGAGTGGTATTGATACATGTACCAACGGCAGGGATCACAGTCGGGGTACGCCTTGACATCAAAAAAAAATGAAAAGTTAATAATGGGTGCATTTAGAAAGCGCACATTGTTACCACTATTACCCCTGCTCAATGGGTCAATGAAATCTCAGCTACCCAGGGAGTATAGAGTTCGATGCTGCCATTTCGGCACCAATCAGCTAAAATCAACCACAATAATCATCACTGCCCTCACATGTACCTATCTACTGCTGGGTGGAGCGAAGCAATGAGTGACAAAATGTCGCTCCTAAGGACACAGGCAGTACAACCCCAGGCTGGACTCGAACCCGCTGAATTACCCACGGACCACGAGTTCGATGCTCCAGGCAACGAGGCCACGGCACTCCACAGCATAAAGCAACCAGTACTGCTCAATCATATCAACAATAATATTGATTGATATAACATGCCAGGGGCTTCGGGATATTGAGAATTTTTCATAATGTTGTCAGACGCAAGGGGGTGACTACTGAGCCCAGGCTTTCCTTAAATCAGCCCAAAATTATGAGAAAGAAAAGAGTCATATATGGAAGGGAAATTGATACCGGGGCTGAATTCAATGCAGACTGGTATCCGTGGCTCTCCAGCTCAGATGAACGGCTCAGGTCTGGTTTCAACAGATCTGACATGCCAGGCGAGATCAGAAGTCGGCTGAGGTGCTCAAACAAAGCCTTGAAAGAGGGAACCAGACAAATTTCTTTTCACATATCATTCTGTATTTTAAAAATGTGTCGGTGACATTTCAAATGTATTAGTAAACTGTTTTAAATGTATTAAGAAATTGTACCCACATTTTTCACTTGAATCTACGACATGTACAAATGTTGGGATCAATGTGATATATTTAAGCACAGTGCTGAGCATGTTACAACAATCAAGCATAAACAAAAAAAATAAAGCTATAGAAAACAACGAATATATCAAATAAGAAAAAATAAATAAACATGACTTAGGCCTATGGGGTTTACGCCGAACATCATGATAGATACACACATGCTCTTTATGTTCCCTATCATGATGTACTTGATTTTTTTAATATAGTTCTTGATGGAACTGTCTGGCCTTAGTAGGCTTACTTAACAAACATCTAAACAGAGAGATTTAGCACGAGAAAATAGTGGGTGCAAAAGTTGTTGAATGTTGTGCATTGTAGTTTTAACCGTAAACAGAATGCGGTACGGAAACTGCAAGAAGTGTAAAAAAAATCAGATTATTGTAATTACCTTGTACTTGTTACCACTGTTAACGCCCTCCGTCGTCGGTTTAGGACACGCCCCTATTTGTTGACACATGTTGTCAGCTTGCTGTTGAGAATGAAAATAATGTGAAGATTATCTCCTTGAAAATGCAGACAATCAAAGGTAATTAAATTTGTAAAACGTTCCCATAATTATTTTGTTATGATGATTGACTTCGCCTATTAAACCAGAAATGAAAAGGATAGGAAAAGTATATAATTCGTCACCGTTTTCACGAAGAGCCAAATAATTATTATGTGAATTTTGAAGAAAAGCGTTTTCGAGATTATCGCAAAAAAAGTTGGTCCTATTTTAAAACTGCAAAAAATCCTACTTTGCATCAACTTTGTGCAGTAGGAAAAACTTCACATGATTCTATGAGCGCTGAACTTTTACGTGCACCCAGTAATTAGAATTAATACTACTGCATTAATGAGTTAATTAGTGAAAATTAATTAGTAAAGATAGGTGGCTCTTCGTGAAAACGAAAATCTCATTGAAAATTGAAAAGTTAATAATGGGTGCATTTAGAAAGCGCACATTGCTACCATTATTACCCCTGCTCAATGGGTCAATGAAGTCTCAGCTACCCAGGGAGTATACAGTTCGATGCTGCCATTTCGGCACCAATCAGCTAAAATCAACCACAATAATCATCACTGCCCTCACAGGTACCAATTTACTGCTGGGTGGACGTTACAAATTAATAAGCCACGTTACCAATTAATAAGCCACATTTTAAAAGAAAAGAAAGCGAGGCTATAGTGAATAAATATTCTGGCACCATCCCATTCAACAGTTCACAATTTATGCAATACATTCAGGGAACACGACAAGAATGGCCAGGTGGGAGGTGGCTGGACTCGCTAGCCAATAGCTTCCATAGGTACGCGTATAATCCCGCATGTAGCAAAGTGATTCGGTCACAGCCCAACTCACAAGCCTGTTGCCCATGACAGCCACCAGTGATTCGCCGTACTCGTCCGCGGCCTCGATGCAGACTTTGGAGGTCGCACAACCAGCGAGACAGAAAGTCTTCAGGAAGTCCACCAAGGGTTTCTATGGGAAGCGATGCAAATAATAGCAACAAAGCGATTTAAGGTTATTTTAGGTTCCTACTCCACAGAGACAAAGGGGGGGGGGGCCGGACAATTTCGAGTAAAAATCAAATAAAGAAAACATTTGAGATTAGAAGTCACACTAACTTAATATTTCCTTATTTGCAAGAGAATCACTAGGGCGGGAGCTCGGTTTAAAACTCGATCTATTCGACTGAATGATGTTCACTCTAAATTTCTAGTTAATTCGTTGGGAGTGAGATTGCGCTCAAGCAAAGTGTTCACTCCGTTCTGTCCGTCTGCCAAATGTTAAGACTATTTATTTGAATTGTAATAGAAGGGTCCCACATTTCGTCTTAAGAAATATAATGTCATACAATTTATTGAAAACATCGAATCGTTTTTTTTTTTAAAGGAAGGCAAATTTCCGTTTTCTAACGAAATGAATTTCTTGTAAGTTAAGACAAACCTCGTATGACGGGTCTTTAAGTCGCGCTACAGCTTGGCCGAAGAATTCCTTGCAGCTATCGCATTTGCTCGGGGCGGCGTCTGGGGGCGCGTGGGTGATGACGTCGTGACCAGAGGGAAGACTGCCACCATCGGCGGTGCAGAACTTCAAAGCCGGGCAGAACGCATCTGGCGCCTGCAGGTGAATACCATAAGAAGACACCTGCTGATTGTTTGTTCATTCTGGTTGAATTAAGGGCCCATGCATTGTAGGGTTTTTAGCAATCCTTGAAAGTGCACTTTCGTGTGACATTTAACTCTATTTTCGATTTTTGTTCTGCCCTTTTCAAGGCTATTTGATGCCTTTTGGGCGTTTACGCTAATAAAAATGTCAGTGTTCATGAGCAAAACTGCGATGTCAGGCAAACACCTCAGTGTTACAGCTATTTTAGCATCAAACACTGACAGAATTTTGGATAACAAATTCATCTCATTGACCTTTCAAATGGCGCATAAAAAAATGAATAAGAGGAGAAAAGAAAAATCAACAGACGAAAATAAATAGATAAAAGTAAAACACTGAATTAAGGTCATTCAATGAACTACTTCCTTTGAATTCCAAATCCCACCGGGGTGTTGACAGGTGCAATGTAGGTAGGAGCTTCTAAAACTTTCACAAATTCAATACCGGACGTCATTCTGCAATAAACTAGGCTATCAAATGTTCAGATTCGACCCGAATTCGGGTCAGACCGGGCTGCCCTGAGACTTTTCGGGTCAAAAGAACACGTCCTTGAGAAAATTGTCCATGCTGTTTCACACTTAAAGTGACATTTTGACACGGAGAATTGTCAATTTGACCAGGGAAGAATATCGGGTCAAAATAATCTGACCCGGACTCTAGGTCGATTCTGAACTGAAACTTTGGAGAGAGGACGTCCAAGTTGGCTTGCTGGAGTCTGCATGCTCTATAGGCCTACTCATATACTCACGACAAACAACAAGACAAGTTCACGGAGTTTCTCGAAGTACGCTTTGAACAGCTGCTTGCATAGGTCCGAAAAATCCCCCATGTCCTCCTTGCAGAAATAAGAAAAGACGGCGACATCGAACTCCTTGAAAACGAAACGAGAAACTTTTTTGAAAGTCTGTTTCGTAGAAAACCTGAGAGCGATCTCGACTTTAAAGGCATTCATTTGCTTTCATGTATTCTGTTCGTTTCTTATAACGACTCTTCTTCAAAATCCTTCAAAATCCAAACCTATCCTGTCGAAGTTTCAGCTCAGAGCATATTACATTTTTCGACATAACATCGAAAAACCTTTCGAAGCACTAGTTTGATGAAAGCTCTCTTTACTAAAAAAAAAAAAAAAAAATTCAATTGACTGATTGTTGAAAATCACAGGCATTTCTCGATTTCTTCTAAATGACAGCGTAATTTCACGGGGTGTAGAATCAGTACGATCTCTAATCGAAGTAAGATAGCCGAGAAAAAAAAATAAATCTGCAGGTTGCTTTTGATACTGTAGCGTAGACCTAGTTGGGTTCTTGTCCTCCGAGTCCAGCAAAACGCCAGAAAAAGGGGACGCAATTGACCCAAGGCTTGAAGCAAAACTCAACTTGTTTCGTTTTAATTCTCTAAAGACCGGCTACCTGCCGCAATGCTTCCAAAAACACAACTGAACATTCTCAGCATACAAAACGCACTGTCTGAAAAAGTATACATTTGTAACAACTTAACCCAGCCCTGGAATTTATCCAAACCCTTCCCGCGTACCCAAACAAAAGAACCCAATTGAAGTGATCTATTTACAACAACCTATTTCCGGAGCGCGCGCCGGCCCAGACCCAAAACCAGGCCAGGTGCGCGCCGCCGGAGGCACTCCGCCGGCGGCGGTAGCGCCGTCTACTACTGGTAACTACGGGAAACAAACTGTCCGCTACAATACAAATGCAAATGATCATATGCCTTTCAATATCAAATCTGAACCAAAAAAGAAACACAAACATGAATTGTGTCCAGTGCGTTCTGACTGAAGACAAACTTAGTCCGTGTAGGAATAAAACAACGTATTTGCCAGAAATTATGTGTTGCCACTTAATACCGTAATTGTCTACGATGTAATAACTTTGTTTGGATTACTATCGCAAAGGCGAAATAAACGCTGAACAACTGCTTCAACTTTTTCAAAATACCCACATATTGAGTGATCAAAATAATGACTGTAAAAGGAAAACCCCTTCGGGCCCCCTTTGCAATGTGTACGACAATGTTACGACAATGGTCTCAATGTGTGATAACATCTGTGTGGGCTTTTTGTACTTGACTGAAGTGTATACACCATGAACCATCTTGGCGGACCGCCTAGCATTTAATGTATACAGTCGATAACAGAACGCGTAAACGGGCAATCTTTTTATAGTAGCAAATAATTTATGTATGACATTATTGTTGTTATCAACTGCATAGTGTTGCGGGCTGGTAAAGAGGTCCATGCAAAGTCGACCAAACCACGATTTCTACACTGTCAAATTCTCTCTTTATTTTTGTGGCCCACTTACTGGAGGTTTTTAGCAACGAAGAGTCTCAGCTTTGTACCTATCTTTGAACTTGTATTTCGGAGACATTTGGGATTAAATCGCTCTTTATGTTTAATGGAGTGCAGGGATAATTGGGCTTTTTTCAATAGCGGTGGACAACTGTTTCGGTTATCATATTTGAAGAAAAAATCATCTGAAAGTCATTAATTAATCCCAAAATATTAAAGAGAAATTGAAAGCGCGGTAAATCAAGCTGGGATGTGAATTATATCTTTAAACCCCGACATCAAACAGTTGTGGGAATTGTGCCTGATTGGGAAGCGAGAGCATTTATCTTTGCAAAATGGCAGTCAATTCACCTAACTTACAGGCGCCTGCGGGAATAGCGAACCGTTTTCTTTACTTATGTTTATTTCATTCATTTTTTTTTAGATCGCATATGCTGCGTATAGAAAATGCAACTTATTTGTTCGCTTCAAGGTAATTATACGCCTGCAGGCAAAGCGCACCTGTTTTTAACTTATTTTATTTATTTATTACAAAATGCTACCTATTTGTGTGCTTAAAGGTAATTATACAACATTTGCTTTGGTCGTGATTTTCAAAAATGGATGTATTGGGAGTATTTTTGTTACACTGACCTTCAATAAAGTTTTGTGTTAATAGATGCTTGAAAAGACTAAGAGACAAATTGCTTTTTTGTAGTCTGGTTCCCTGACCCTACCCGGACAAAACAGAGTAATTTATAGACATCGGAGAATCAGGTCAGGGAACCAGACTAGCTGGCTTGAACCCGTTCGTGGATGTGTAACCGATTGCAAACGAAATGTGGACTAACTAAATTTGGTAAACTGGGGGCAGTACTTATTTGAAAAAAAAGTCAGTTTGTTTTTCTCAAAAGATACGGCTAACCATCGTTGGAAAATATTACAAAAAACCTGTTTCTCTTGAAAATGACGTCACACCAGGAACCACGATTTCATAGGATAACTGAGGTTATTATTCACTTACAGTCAAGTAAACTGCTTCATACAAATTTGTTAGTTTTTTTATGTTTTGATGTGCTAATCACCAATCACAGATTTTTGCGGTTGGCAGTTCCATAAAAGTGTCCCCATCAATGGCCTTCCACCATCCAGCGAGTCGTATGTAGGGTGCACAAGGATAGTTCTTCTTTCTAAAGAAAATCCCAATTTCAAATGAACCCGTGCATTATTAAGTGCCCTTTTTGTAGGAGTCAAGCACTTTTTTTAATATATTTATATAACAGTATGGGTTAATCATCGTTATTATTTATTTTACCTTTCCAACTGCCGTTTCCAGAACCTGCTTGGTGTCCGTCATGAAGGCTTTGCAAGTAGCGCAATCAATGGCCTACCAATGGAGAAAAGGACAAATCGTGAACGCCTGGTGACAAAAATCCTATCAATTTTATAAAAGCTTGCAAAAAAAGGGGGGGGGCTGTGTTTGTGCCTATTTCAAAAAAGGACTCTATATATAATTTAATATAATTTTAAACATTTTCATCTCTCAGAATATTAAAATTAATAAGACCCAGGCAATCAACTTGAAAGTAACACAAAAGAGAGGAAATTTCAGGCTTTATACAAGATGTTTAAATTTTTAATGTCATAATTTTGAAGTAAAAACGAGTTAATCCGCTGATGATCCGAGGAAAAGTTGCTTGCTGTAGAATGGGTTGTGAAACAACCACTCCAGCATTACTGTCTCATGTTTTTTTTTTGGTACTTTTATTAGTTTTTTTTGTCAATAGTAACACTTGGTACCTAGTCTATCTGTGCATACCACAACGTTTGCAACGGGACTTCTTTTCTACTTAAAAAATTACGATTCGCGGTGTAATCTTGTTGCTTCACAATCTATTTGCAAATATGAAGTCTTCGTCGGTTACCACAAGCAACATTTTGAGTTCTCAAATTTGAAAGGAAAGATTTCTACACTCTTTTGCACCAGTGACTGAAACCTTGTAATTAATATTCAAAGATAAAGGCTAGACTCCTAGTACTGTACCGATTGTTTTTGTTTTAGTTTTAATTTCGACCATTTATCAGTCTGGTGGCATCAATGTGGTTAAAAACTGTATTGAAAGACTGGGAACTAGATGTTTCTTTTGCTATATTTAAAAGGCCATGCAATGTAATTTGTGAATCCAATCCTTGAACATGCATTTTCGAGTCCCATTTATCCTTATTTTCAATTTTCATTTTGCCACTTTGAATGGTATTTTGGTGTTTTTGTTTGTGTCATGATATGTAAATTTACATATACAATATTCATGTGCAAAACTGTGATGTCATTCCGGGTACAAACCTCAATGTTAAAGCTATTTTAGCACAAAAAAGTTGCTAGAATTTTTCTTTGAGAATTCGTTGGTGTGTCAGCACATGGCAGTAAGCAAACGAGCAAACTTTTCTCACAAACGTTTTCACTGAGCAAATTTTGGGTTCACAATTTGAACAGAAAACCCCTAAAAGGTACAGTGTCTTCCTGAAATAACATCACAGCAACAACGCCCTCAGTTGTCTGGAAAAGCATGGACAATTGTACATGTTTGAAGCAAAACACTTTTCCATGAAATTAACCAAAAGGGATGTCAATTTGTTTTCGTACATTTAAGAGGAGAAAAACGTTGCACAAAATGTGTTCCTTAGAGAAATTCATTGCACAGTACCTTTACCCCACTTACCACTTTACCTAAGAGATGCCGTACAATGTACCACATAAGTTTCATGCACCGGTCTATTATCTTCTTCTTTCTGGTTTATATATTTTTTTCACTTTTTCAAATTTTAGGGCCCTTAATACACAGTTGTTTTCTTACCTTAGGAGGAGGGATGTCAGTAACAGGCTGTCCATTACGTCCAACAACCGTTTGTTTAACATGAGCGCCTTCCGTGCCTGCATGTAACGTAACAAAGAAAGGGAGAAGATTTTACTGTCATACCCACACCAGAAATGGTCAGAGGGGGAGAGTAAAATCTGAGAAAACGAGGAAACAAACGACATGCCTTGATCAGAAGGATGAGTATACTTATAAATTCATGACGATTGTGGATTTGTGTATAAAATTAAGGGTCAAAAACTGGCTTCTATATCGCGAATGCCATCTAGTTCACATAGTTTCTGACGATTTTTTAAACATAAATTTCCTCCATAATGAAGGGTTGTTTCCTTTGGTTTTTCCTGTCCCTGACCCTTTTTTTATGCTAAAGGCGATATGAAAGTAAAATCATCCCATATTCGGACATCACTTCTTTGGTTGTGTGGGCTTATAATGTCGAAGTGTTGAAAAAATGTAAAATTCTTTCCAAATTGTAATTCGTATTGTTAATTCGTACAGCGTTTGTGTACATAACATTGCAATAATTATTGATCGTCATTATGATGCAAAAAGCAACGTCTCTATATTTTAAATACACTATATTTTATATAAACTGCATTCCTTCCATAATGCATTCACTAATATTTGTACTACATATTGCCCGTAAAAAGACATTATGCGTTGCAGGTATCTGCCTATCCAAGCCTAGCCCCATAAACATGGCCAATTTACTGGACTACCTCCGTAAATAAAGGCCACACTTTCACCATGTACAAAAACATGTCGAACTTTGTCAAATTTAGATTTTCACATTTAGGCTTAGTTTGTAGTTTATTTTTTTTCTTTTAGAAGCATACTCACCCTCTTTATATGCTAATCAGAAAGTGCTGCCTTTTTCAGATGTCTATTTTTCGTAAAATTTCCAGATTCGTTTGCACACATTTGCGTATCAAAGTTTCAACATGAAATTTCAAGAAAATTAGACATCTGAAAGAGGGTGAGTATGCTTCTAAAGCAAATATAAACTACAAACCAAGCCTAAATGTGAAAATCTAAATTTGATAAAGTTCGACAGGTTTTTGTACATGATGGAAGTGTGGCCTTTATTTACGGAGGTAGTCCCGTAAATTGGCCACATTTATGGGGCTAATCCAAGCCGTACAAAACCACTCCCCTTTATCTTCACCTTTTCAAGTTTGTTCAAGTAGCCTACGCAACTATTTGTGTGCGTTTCGAGAGCGTGCATAATTTGGATGACATATTCATGACATTACTTACCCTGAATCTGAGCCACGGCAGCTATGGCAATTATTAGCAACCCAAGCCTGATCATTCTGAAAACGATTGTCGACGAAACTCCGATACGTGATTTGCTCTCCAATCGGCACGATCGAGATCCTTTGCTTTACCTATCTACACAGAATATGCACCGCCAAAAAGGCCTACCAGCATAACTCGCATAAATGTACACGTAACAAAAAGTTGTGCTGCAACCGTGTACCAACATCGGTCCGCTTATTTTGTTGTGGATTCGTCTATACCTATTGTGCTCTTATAATACGGATGACTGTTTCCCTATGTTAACCTTCTGAGTGAATTCACGGTATTTGTTACCAATGCAGACTCAGTTCAGTCAAGTCCTTTATCCCTAACTTTCCTTTGTGAATGAAAAACCGTTGAGATTTACTGTAAAGGCGACGACGCAAATTCTACGTGTTTTGTTCGGTTCGCGACAAGGTCAGGACAACTAATGCGTATACCTGTACATAGGCCTATACATACAGGTTTTACTGCAACAATTTACCTATCAATAAAGTGCATGCAACATGTTAAATTATTATGCATCAGTTAGAATGTGAGTTTATGTTATCTTTTTTTTGCAGTATAAAGAACAACCATACAAATGTATCAGGCGATTTCTGTAATAGAGTTTTTTTTTTTAAATATGTCCAGTGCAGCAAAAATTAAATCAACAGTCGTTGCTTCCTTCATCGCGCAAACGTTGGAAATTAGTAAAGTCAGTGGTAGAGGTCGAATTTCTAACGACTGATTGCTGTTACGACATACAGTGGAAGGGACGCGCGCGTGCCCTCCCACTAATTGTGCCAGCAGGTGCCCGGAGAAAAAATGTCTACATTTCTTAATTAATTTGCTGATGAAAATTTCCCCCCCCCCAAGAAAATCCTGGATCCGCCCCTGCCACCGCAACACCCCCGGCTTTTCGAATTGCAGCAGCTGAAAATGTGGGAACATTTGTTTCTAATTCCTCCCTTGGTGCCTCTCTAAAAAAAATGTGTTTGCCCCTCCCTTCCACTCCAACCCCCCTCCCCTGCAAAACTGCAAACAAATTTTGGCGAGGCCACTGCGTGCATTAGATCTGCATACAGGTTGCCCCCCCCCCTCCAAAAAAAACCCCACTGTACAAGAACTCCTCGATGTAGCGTCATTTGCATGCTGCCCCCAGCGACAACTTCCGGACAAGTAAAACACTCATGGCTATAGGGTGCAGCCCAGACAAAAACCCGCCCGTCGAGCTCATGAATAAAAGTTATACATGTACACTCAATTTATTATGGAGAGTTCAAAGATATATGGGAGCCGTGGAATTGGGGAATTGAAGATATGCAAATCGCACGGCAATTCCAGCATTTTGGATGCAATTGGGTCCGCCCAAGGTGGGGCTATTTAGCCATGTTGTGGAGGGATCCTTTTCAAAAAGGCTACTTTTCCAGTTTGGGAAACATAATTCCTTTTAGGGGTGATCTTCAAAAAATTAGAAGTCACCGGTAAACACACCAACATTTGAAAGGAAAATGAAAACGGCATGTTGATCATCATTTTTTTTTTTGTAGCCTGAAAATCTCTGAGAGTTTTGAGTATTTTTGAAAGAATTTTGAAGAATGGGGCTTTGTCACTGGTCTCTATGGGAATTTATTTACTGGGTTGCACCCATAGGGAAGACACAAAAACAGCTCTCGAAAGAGACTAGTTTTTACTTGATTCTCAACATTATTGTCTATTTTATTTTAATTTACGTATAACTATAATGAGTCTGATGTGTTCTAAGATTCTATTTCAACACTTTTCCCTACCACATAATAGTTCGTATTATACTTAGTCTTCTTGCAAAAACAAAACTTTACATTCGTACCTTATGTGTGTGTGTGTGTTTTTACTTCTACTTAATATTCAGGGTGGTCAAAAAAACGGAATAGCATACTTCCACTACCTGTGACTCAAACCACATATACCAATGCATGGAAAATCTTTTAAGAAGTAAAATCGGTCTAGTAGTTTTTGTTCTAGAGCCTATTTTGTGGAGCAAGGTGGGGGTCATTTTTGTCCCGATGAATTACTAAACCGCGCCCGGGAATTGGACTTTCATTGTAATTGATAGAGGGATTGTTATATAATAATACCCACGTGAAAGAAGTATTCTTCAAAAAAAAAGGCTATGCATCGAAAACTATTGGAACAAATCGGAATATTTTGGTATCATAATTCTTCTAAAAGGATTCTCCATCAATTGGTTCAAGTTGTTTGAGTCTCAAGGTAGTGGAAGTATGCCGCTCCGGGCTTCTTTTTGGCCGCCCTGTATAGCAACTTTTAATTGAGATGCTATTCTAAGTGCATGCCACAAATTAGTGTACAAAATCAATTCACATGAAAGCTGCTACTTAAAGTTTAGTACGTATTTACAGATATAATTTTAACTATACACGTGCTGAAAAAATCAATAATTGTAATTGGTGAATTGAAGTTGTTCTTCATTGGTACGAACAAAAGCAAGCGTGTCCGTGCCCTAAAGGTTTTATCCACAGAAATAAATTTGACAGAATTGTACATACATGTAACTCGTTATAGCCTAAACTAAATTCTTGAATAAACTCCTGCCGTCATATTACGCGTATCTAAAAAATACAGACCTACTTGCTTCAATATAATTAATCAACAACAAAATACAGTACAATGAAAGTTAAAGAATAATCTACAATCAATGAAATCCGATTTGACTTCAGCGTCAGTTTTTAACTGCAAACGGGCATATCCGTTAATATACCATCGGTGACACTTGTTGGAAACCAGTCCTTTGACACCTAATTGAAATCGGTGATCCTTTTCCATGCATCGTTCGATTTTTGAATGGAATCGAAGAGCTGCCGATCGTTTTACAAAACTTCATGGTTTTTTGGCAACTCTATCGATCCTCTTTTTATATCTAGCGGAATAATAATATTAGGGCGACAACAAAAAGCAAAAGATTAGCCGGTAAATTATTAGTGATAATGAAATTATTTTAAAATTCAATACGGCTGTCATTCCTGGTGTCTATGTGAGTCAGATCTACCCCGGCCTCCATCCAACGATTTTCCTTCTCTGCTCCATTTGCCCGGGCCTTTTTATTTGCCACACACAACCCCAAAAAGATAATAGCTAACACCCCAACTCCTACGGTTGTTCCGATCAGTGCTGCGATGACGGTACTAGCCTCAGAAAGGGGAAGCCTCAACCCACCCACACTGACGGTACAAGGTTCCGGGTCCGGTGGGCAGGGCCGGTCCGGTGGGCAGGGGGTAGGCTCCGGTGGGCAGGGGGTAGGCTCCGGAGGAGTAGGGGCAGGTGCTGTGATGGACGGTAGGTAGCTTGCCCAGAAGCGAAGGAGATGTTGCCAGTTGTTGTCATTGCCTGAGAGGGCCTGGGGACAGTCGGTGAGTGACATGTAGGTCAGGTTGGCCGAGTCGAATGCTGGCCACTTCACTCCAGAAAGTGAAGATCCCGGAGCCCTAAAATGGAAAAGTGTAGGTAAGCGAATTTGTCAGAGAGTCTGAAAATACAAACCCCAATACTGTTTAGAGATTTCACCAAGGTATTATAGTGAAGCAACTGTATGCTAAGATAGTGCAATTCATTTTCTTTATGTCCAATGATTCAGTTCATTTCTTCCTCACAACAGGTATTTAGTGAGTAACAAAATATTACTGAAATTTCCTGCAAGTTCTATAAAGATGGTTAGTAATCTTACCCATTGTATGTAAACATTTCCAAGAATGCCATCAGCTCTTGGGTGAACCGCTTATCTTCCAGCCTGTAGGATAGCTGGAGTTCATCCACGAGAGGACTGTATGGATCTCCAAACAGGAACTGAAGATCATCTGCAAACGTTGGTCCGACCTGAGGTGGAAGTGGCCCCTTGTAATAATGAGCAGGTGGTTTGAGATTAAACGAGTAGAAGTAGACAGAGTGGCCGGCGTCGGCGTGGAGTCTAGCAGCTTCCAATGTGCTCCAGTATGACAGATAGTCGTTTATGAACTGTCTGAAACTTCCACGTGTCTGGCAATCATCATCGAGTCCACCCTTTCCGATATATTCCGTCGCAAGAGCGAAAGCTGTTTTATCAGGATTGGTGAAACACAGGCTGCTCACTGTGTCTATGTACTGCTGGACTTCTGCGGTACTTGGACAATCAAGGCCGGTGAAGGCAAATGCCACCCCGGCAAATCCGTCCTGTGCCAACCCAACAAGTATGTCAACGTCGTTGATTCGGCCTGCTTTCAGCAACTCAAGAGGTTTGTCAGTGATAAGATCACCGTCTACAACGGTCGGAAAGGCTAAGCCAAATGGAGCACTTATAGTAATGGACACAAGGTCGGCCGCGGGCTTGTCACGGAGACAGCTGACCATCATGTCACTGGTCTCAGTTGGACATCCAAGTTTGCTTGCTAGAGTTTTAGCTCTCTCGGATACACTTGGAAGTACTGGATTATCGACAGGTGGGGTTATAGCAGTTGCACTCATCAAAACAGCTCTGTTGAATAAGCCCTTCGCTGTCTCAGAGAGTGTCAGCATATGGGCGAGAATTGCACCGGAGCCGTAGCCTTGGACTGTGACGCGCTCCGGGTTACCTCCAAAGCTTCCGATGTACTTGTTGACCCATTTGAGAGCAGCCAGGGTATCATGCAGCCCATAATTACCAGGTGCTACTTCGTCTTCTGTAGACAGGAAACCAAGAGCTCCTAGACGGTAGTTCATCACCACAACGACAGCTTTGACCCGAGATGCAAGGAGAGTAGCATCGTAGACTGAGGAGGTGCCGTATTTTGCGTCCCCACCGTGAATGAAAACCAAAACCGGCAGAGCTGGGTCGTTGGGGTCTTGAGTTGGGGCGTAGATGTTTAGAGTCAGACAGTCCTCGCTAGTTTGGTTGAACCCAAGACGAACCATCCAAGGATCTCGAGTGACGTCCTGTGGGCAGGCAGGCGGTAGCTTCTCCGGGATTCCAAGCGGTTCATCGCCCCACTTTCCTGTGTCTTCAGGCGGCCTGAATCGCAGTTCGCCGAGTGGCGGTTTTGCATAAGGAATACCCAAGTACTCGGCAATCTCTTGTCCTCCCATCGCCTCGTCTGCTACTCGCAAAGCCCCGACGACAGATCCAAGCACTTCTCCGTCTTTGCCTGAAATCTGCACCGTCATATTGTCTGGCTTTCGCAAGGTGCCCCTCCTGACAGGTACTTCGTATAAGCAGGCTTTCTTGTAATATTCAGGCTCGGTTATGGTTGGAATATAGTCATTCCAGAAGGCTACTTTGCCAGGTTTGAAACGTTGTCCTGTCTTGTAGCCAGGATCTAAAATGATGTAGGATCCGTTCTCTGTTTCAAACTCTGGCCACTCCGGTAAGTCTGGTAAGCCAGCACCGTTTGGATTCCTGCATACGAAG